TTGTCACAGGAACACTATGTTGAGAGACTTCTTAAGAAGTTTAATTATTTTGAGGTGACATGTGAGTATTCCCTATGACTCTAGTATTCACTTGAAAAATAATCGCGGTGACCTAGTTGACCAGTCTAGGTATGCTCAGATTATTGGGAGTCTGATGCACTTGATGAACTTCTCGAGACCTGATATAGCTTATGTTGTATGTAGGCTGAGTGGATATACTCATAATCCCAACCGTGAACATTGGTCTGTAATAGAGAGACTGATAAATATTTGAGAGGAATCATTAATTATGGTATCCTATATAATGGATTTTCTGCTGTTCTTAAGGGTTATAGCAATGCGAATTGGATCTCTGATTCAAATGAGATGAAATCTACTAAGTATTCACCCTTGGTGGTGGTGCAATAACGTAGAGATCAACCAACCTTAATTGATAGGTCCACTATGGAGTCAAAGTTTATAGCTCTGGAGATGGCTGGTTCTAAGGTTGAGTGGTTATGAAATTTCTTATCCGATATCCCTTTAAGAAAGGATGCATTGCCTTTTGTGCTTGTGCACTGTGATTGTTAATCAATAATTTACAATGCTAAGAATAAATCATATAATCCGAAGAGACGTCATTTAAAATTGAGGCACAATATTGTGAGAGAATTGCTCAGAGATGGAATTATTTCCATAGGGTATGTGAAGTCGTAAGTGAATTTGGCCGATCCACTGACTAAACCCGTTGGAAGAAAAATAGTTCTTCAAACCTCATATAAGATGGGGCTTAGGCTAAATTGAAGTCAACAAAGATGGTAACCCTCCTATGTGATTGGAGACCCCATGAAGTAGGTTCATATGGGTAATAATAAGTCGATGTTAGGCTCTGACTGCACTAGATTTTATATCATTGTGTGATAGTGCTTTAACTGCTACTATATTGGAGGGATGAGTTTTAAACTCTTAATGATTTCATATTCCTTATGGATGGTGTATTTAAAGTAGTGTACACTTGATTATCACCCTTGGAGAGTAAAGTGGGGCCGCTTTTATAGGGTTTTATTGGCCGAACCCTTGGAGCTCTCATGAACAACTAAGCAAGTGTACGGCCAAAATAATATGCATAAAACGTGTTGACAACAAGTTGTGGGTTGTAATATGGTTGGTAAAACCTCTGTCATACAACAAAGACTTTGTTGGTTCATAGAAATTTTAATCTCACCAACAATTCTGTGTGTCATGTTTTATTGATCTATGTTTGGTTTATAGTCCGAAAGACACCAGACTTATGCATTGCTACCTTATAGATTCAATATTTGTTTTACTAAAAATCTTTTGAAATATGTGGGGGATTGTTGGCATTTGTTAAGATTTATTTCAAAAGATGTAGCTTTTAGTACAATAACTGCTTGAGGTGGTTTAATGTGGAAAAACTTATTTGTCAAAAAGAATTAATTTTATGCTTCGGTTTTGATTCTGTAGACATGTTATGTCTAATAACATCAAACTAGCTAAAGAGTTAATGAGAAGTGAAGTTTTCTAACATTAAAACCAAAGATGAGATTTGCATGTGAAATAACTGTTAACTTGTTTTAGCTTTTCTCTTTAATTCTCAAAGAAGTAATGGTTTTGTTAATCTTACGTTAAATGTTATCTTTGGTATTTTCGCTACAAATAGGAAATACAAAAACATCATTTTCATCCATTCAGTGAAAAACCAAGTTCTTTAACTACTTTTCCTTTAAATTTTGATATCACTCCTCACGAGAAAATTTCTTTGGGTTTCTTTCTCTTTACTTTTAAATAGTTTTACAAATATTGGATCTATATACTTGTTAGTTCATGTGTCCTCCAAACTTAAAAGAGAAAGACTTGTTTTATCTTGGGAGAACATTTCGTTACACCGAAATAATTTCTTTAAGACAGTGCAATTCTGCGCTACTCAAGTATTTTATTTATATATCATTTTTGGATCATTCCCTAACATTTTCTTCTGAAACAGGGAGATGGGTGGATTTGAAATTGTGTTGTGACCGCCCATTTTCGCTTTGCAGTCGGAGGACACCCATAGTTGTGAGCAACATGCTTAATTGGATGAGTTTTAAGAGAAAGCATCACGGAAAAATCCTAGTGTATGACCCTTATTACATGGATCCTCATAAGTTGCGTGTTATTGAGGGCCCTGATAATTCTAGTGAATGAATTGATCAGATATCAAAGACTTCAAGCGATGATATTGGTGTTTATCAAAGACGCTTCAAATATTTTACAACTATGAGACCAGATCCCCTACATAAATCATCATCCAAGAGTTTGAGAATATAGGAGTTACAACAAGAGGAGGACGTACCAATGGTGCCTTCAACATACAATCACAGGAGTTCAAGACATTTTACATTCTTTTCTTCCTCCTCAAAACGAGATGAAGAAGCTATGATTTCCAAGGCGTGGAGATTCCGAGTTTGTGAATGCGGAATCTCATGGCACTCCATCCTTTTGATCTAGATATAGTTTACTTGTATTTTTGGGTCTTGAAAAGCCGTGGTGTCATACAATTTACGGATCAAGAAGGCGGAAGTTGAACCAGTTGTTGGTCGAGGGTTCAAAACTCCCTCTTTCGAGGGAGTTATGTCCTTGTCCATATCATTGTTTGTTCTCAGATTTTCTTTTCTCCATTCCACCTTCTTTATTTAACTAGTAGCTACCATTATCTTTATTTGATCGTTGTAATTTTATGTTTTTCAGAAAGAGTGGAATTCTTCATGTTATAATCAAGTCAAGTTAACCTCATATCTAATAAATGTATGTTCACAAAATTTGGACGTATGTCAATGCTCTTTTGGTGTTAGATGAATCGTTTATAGTAGATTGTAATAACTTATTTATAACACAATGAATATTGATTTTGATGGGGGAAAAGAAAAACCATCAAAGGAATGCAGAAAGCACAACGGTTACTTCAATTATACTTTGTTAATATTAAGATCAACCCATGATGATCCTCGTTTATATCCATCCATCAATAATCAATAAATAAATGAACCAAAATGCTCAGGAGTGAGCTACAACTTTATATATATATATATATATATATATATATATCTTTAAATATATTACAATGGAGTAAGAGAGAAAGAGAGAAAGGAAGTAAGAAAATTAAATTGATTGGTGTCCTTATATGACTTATGACACCCTTATTTATACCCTATCTTCTAGTACTATTACGGACTCTAAAATTTTATTTTGAGATCTGAATAGTTACAAATAGTACTATTACATCATATCAAGTTGCTTTATTTAAAACAACTTTATCTTTTTCATTATTGTATTACATTATACTTTCTGACTTTGCTTGAGGATGATGTCCCCCTTTGTCTCGTCTCTTAATTCTTCAATTAGTTTGTTGAGACGTTCTTCTATCATATCATCTTCATTGTCTTCTTCTGGGTCTTGTGATTCTCCAGCTAAGCAATCCTTATTTGATGTTGCTGTTGTCATTGACACAATTGAAATTTTAGATTTGGCCATCATCATTCGCCTTTATCATCATCATCTTTTTCACTTTTTCCATCCCGAAATAATTGTTTTACCTATTAAGAGCAATGATACAAATAGTGAAAAATTATAGTGAAATTGGATAGTGACAAGTGAAAAGACAATACACCACACACTTACTAAATATGTCTATTTATTAATTGAGGGTATAAATGTAATTTTAGAAAAAAAACTTCAACAGTAAAATGACAAAAAACTAGGGACCATAATTAGTCCACATCAGTTACGATGTTTTGTCACTATTTTTATTCACTGTACATATCATTTCACTAAGAAATAACGAATCACAATTTTATCCATTAAAAAATAATTGTTCTATCCATGAATAAATAGTGAATTACGCCACAATTTGATTTTTTTACTCCTATCCATAGTTTGGACAAGAATTAAAAGTATAAATTCAAACGTAATTATATTGGGTCCGAAGTAAGAAAAGTCTATTAGGATTTGGAGCACTGCACTGTATCTTTCAAAAGGTTACACGTGTCAAAAAATGAAAGGAAGAGAATCAGTTGAGGGAAAGCATGCACCACAAAATTTGCAAATCCATGATATTTGCCACGGGGTTTGTGTTATCTGCTCGGCCCTTCTTCCATATCACGTCTCCTTTTCCAGCCACAAAAAATATTAACAGTAGCCAAAAAATAATGCAAGCAAAAGTTTTTCATTTTTTCAGTTTCTTTTTTTTTTTTTTCATCGAAAGCATATCATATTCATTGTCAATGCTAAAATGACAAGATATTTATTCAATGATTTTTTTACCTCATTTAAGGTAAATATAATATGCTTCTCGTTCGCGTTAAGACATTATTGGTGGATTAAATTCATTAAATCTACAAAATTTGAGTATTGACTAACCTAATAAAAGTAATCGAAAGGATGAATTATGATTTGTTCCTATATACAATCAATAATGATTATAGTAAATTTGTATCCCTATTATACATCATATAAACTGCAAGTGTACTCGAAGAATTCACTATACTACTCGTTCTCAAAACGATTTCACGGAAATTAATTAATATAATTTCTCTTTTTGTTATCAATGTGGTCAAAATAATTACTCAAAAAAAAAAAGGTTTAATAATTATGAAACAAAGGTTGATGTAGTGGTAAAAGCATGCTCCCATTCTCGTGTTACAATATCAATTTTTCCTATAGCGCAATTCAAGTTGAACTAGAATAAGCTGGCTGATCAAGTAACAAAGAATACCTTCAATGTCTTGTGTTATTTTTTGTTTTCTAAAAATAAGGTTGAATAACAAGGAAAAGGAAGAGGGATGTTATGTTGTTCTTTCTAGTTTCAGATCTAAAAAATATACTCCTTCTGTTTCATAATTATTGTCCATTTTGTATTTTTATTTCTAGTTCAATTTGTACTAGAAGTGAAAATCTAAAGTGGACAATAATTTTGGGACGGAAGGAGTACTATAATTGTAACAAAATTAAGCATGTATATGATTTTAATATTTGTGTTCAAAAAATGTAAAATTTTTATCCAAACTAAACAATACCTCTATGTTGAATTTCCACTACTTACTTCATTACTTTTTTTTTTTTTTTCTGATTGTAATCTTTTTTTTCTTTCTTGATGAGGCATTTTTCAATTTTCATTAATCCCAGGGCAAAAAAGAAACGAAAAAGAAGATTATTTTGGCCCCATTTCTTTCAGCCAGAAAGAACCAAAACAATAACGCTGTTATTTCCATCCATTCAATTCATCCATTTGATGGTGGACTCATCCCAACACACACCAAAAACAGCGTAAACAAACGAACATAAAGAAGAATTGCAGACGCTCTTCACTTTTCTCCGTTGTTTGAAGAGTTTCTCTCTTCCAAGCTCTGTTAATCCCAGAGTTCCATTAGAGAGAAACTCACGAATTCATTCATCATAAAAAAAAAAATCCCTCTTTGTAGCTGTTGAATTTGGTTCAGAAGAAGGATGGATTTGGCCTCAAAGCTTCAGCTAATCGACTTGCGTTCAACTTTCCTCACCGGACATCCACAAAGAGCCGCCGCCCTCCGCCAGTTTCATCGCCCTGTTCTCCCCACCGCCACTACTTCCCTCAAGACCGCTCCTTTTTGTAGTTTATCACCCAAAACCTCGGCTAAATTACACGCTGTGGCAGTGGAGACTGCGGAAACCGAAGTGAAAGAAGAGATAGAGTCCCTTTTTTCGAGTAATTCGGAGAGTGAAGTAGATTATAAGCGTTTTAATAAGCAGTCAGGTAGTGGGGCGTCGAGTGTTTCATCCGGGATTAAGCTAGAAAATATAAGTAAGAGTTATAAGAACGTCACTGTGTTGAAAGATGTTAGTTGGGAGGTGAAAAAAGGGGAGAAAGTTGGATTAGTAGGTGTAAATGGAGCAGGGAAAACTACCCAATTGAGAATTATATCCGGTTTAGAAGAACCCGATTCAGGGAATGTGATTAAGGCCAAGCCTAATATGAAAATCTCGTTCTTGAACCAAGAATTTGAGGTTTTAGGGTCTAGGACTGTGAAGGAAGAGTTTATGAGTGCATTTACGGAGGAAATGCAGGTTGCTGAGAGGTTAGAGAAAGTGCAGAAGGCTATAGAGAAAAGTGTAGATGATTTGGAGCTGATGGGAAGGTTATTGGATGAGTTTGATTTGTTGCAGAGAAGGGCACAGGCTGTGGACTTGGATGAGGTTGATGCTAAGATTAATAAGTTGATACCTGAACTTGGTTTTCAACCTGAGGATTCAGATAGACTTGTGGCTTCTTTCAGTGGTGGATGGCAGATGAGAATGTGTCTTGGGAAGATTCTTCTGCAGGTATAGACCACACACATTGTTGGGTTTTACTAGAATTTTGTTGCTCTCTGAAATCACTTATGCAGCCATGAAGTGTATGATTAATGTTGTGTAGCATATCATATTTGTCTAAGTAATGATTGTTTATTTTCTTCATTTAAATGTGGACTTGGGTCCGATTTATTGAAGACAGTCCCAAGATAATAGTTTTGAGAAATAGCAGAATGTAATTTGCTTTCATGAGAAATTTGTCTGGTGTTTACAAGCTATAGTTCTTGCTGTGCTAATGGTTGTAGTCTCTTGCGGAGAATCTGATTTAATGATTAGAAAGCATTTTGGGTGTGAAACACATGACTGTAAGCTGTTTGGTGTGTGTTGGATTATGAAGCTTTTATTTTTACAGGCTTAATATTGGGGGATGAGTTGTAAGCTACTGGTTGAAGACTTGGTGCTAAGTTGCAACTATATCATTGCCTTTTGAAAGTTTTCCATTTTCTGAAGTTGATTGAAATAAGAAATAGAGCGTTGTGTATACTTATAGCTTTTTAATTCATCGGTAAACTGTTGCAGGACCCAGACTTATTACTGTTGGATGAACCTACAAATCACCTTGATCTAGACACGATCGAATGGCTTGAAGGATATCTCCAGAAGCAAGATGTGCCGATGGTCATTATATCTCATGACAGGGCTTTTCTCGACCAATTGTGTACCAAAATTGTGGAAACAGATATGGGTGTTTCTAGAACATTTATGGGAAATTACTCTGATTATATTATTTCGAAGGCAGAATGGGTTGAAACTCAGCTTGCAGCATGGGAGAAGCAACAAAAAGAAATTGAGCAGACAAAGGGACTGATAAACAGGTTGAGTGCGGGAGCCAATTCAGGACGTGCATCTACAGCTGAGAAGGTATCATCAACTTATGTCATTTGACAAACTTAGTGCGTCTTTGTTGCATCCATCTTCCAAAAGATACTATTTTTTATATATATTGTAACTAGGCACTTTTATTTCTCACATGGCTTCATCACTTCATTACAATTTCTCACGACAGTAGCCTTTGAGAACCTCAAAAGTTCTTGCTAATCTTCAGTTGATTAAACTCAAATACTGTGGCAAGTTTTTCATTTCAAAATTATTATTTTTTCATCTTTCTCGTATTCTTTCTTTAGTAGCTCATGTGCCATTTATTTCTCCTGAACAATGGCTTATGATGCTTCTGAAATTTTCTCCCTTTGTTCTTTTCTCTCCCCTGAATAAAATCTCATATCCATTTCATAGTTCTTTTCTCCGTACAAAATGTCAATGTCACTTCTTCGTACAAAATGTCAATGTCACTTATAAAGTCATGAATGTGCTTTATAAGGTTAATGAACATCTCTCAAATAATGTGCTCGTAGTTCCTTGTTGATTTCTTCCTTCTTATTCATACTTTTCTCCGTGTGGTTGGTATTTCTACAACAACAGAAGTTGGAGAAACTTCAAGATGAGGAACAGATTGACAAGCCTTTCATTCGGAAGCAAATGAAGATTAGATTCCCGGAGCGCGGGAGAAGTGGACGTTCTGTTGTAACAATAAAGAATCTGGAGTTTTCCCATGGGGATCAGGTACTTGATGAATAGCCGTTGTTTTGTCTTCTAGTTATTTAACTGAATGGATGAGAGGAATATGATAAATTCTACAGGAGCTTTCTGGAAATCTAATTTTTTGGAACCTTTCCTTTGTTTGTTCCTTTTTTATTGTTGGCATTGATGTCGGTTTTTGGTGTGAAATGTTTATCAGATGCTGTTTAGAAATGCAAATTTAATGATAGAAAGGGGAGAGAAAATTGCCATTATTGGTCCAAATGGATGCGGTAAAAGTACCTTGCTTAAATTGATTATGGGTCTGCATAAGCCAGATAGAGGTGAAGTGCTTCTTGGGGAGCATAATGTGTTGCCCAACTATTTTGAGCAGAACCAGGTATGACCCTCCTTTATATATACTTAGTGAATATCGTGGCTATCATGCATTATTCTGGATTTTTCTGATGGTGGGAGTTTGAGCATTCTTGTTACTCTGTTTGAATGGCATGAATTCTTCTTTTATAGGCTGAGGCACTTGATTTAGAGAAAACAGTGCTTGAGACTGTAGCTGAAGTTGCTGAGGACTGGAGGTTGGATGATATAAAGGGTCTTCTTGGGCGTTGCAATTTCAAAGCTAATATGCTTGATAGGAAGGTTTCCTTCTTGAGTGGTGGCGAGAAGGTAATGCCATGTTGAATTCCGCTCTGTGTCTTCACTCACCTTTCCATCTAAAAATGTCTTGCCTTGTGCCTTATATTAAAGTTAACTTCCAAATGAAGTGGAAGTATTGGTTTTACTTGCTATCTGTACTTTATTTATTATTCGGCTTGCTTTAGTCTGGTAGCATTTCTTGGATCTTTTACTTTGACTTGGGATCAGTGTACTTATACTAGAGTGTCTAGTTCAATGAAACAATACTTTTCTTTAAAAGTTATCTTTTGAGAAGCATGGTTGTATGACGATAATTCTTGATAGTCGTTGGGTTATATACTTTTTAATGTCATGAAACTAGATTCCCATTCTTCAACTTTATGAATGAAATTCCTATGACATTATTGGTGACTTGGTGCAATAGTGGTTACGAGAAGACTGGAGTTGGTAATGTAAATTTAGAGCGTGCCTGATGTTCTGTGTACACTGTTTCTTAATAAATTTTTCTCTCAATATGTGGATCTAAATTGGAAATGCGTAAGTTAGTTAGCTATGATATGAGTGTTTTCTTGCATTGGTTGTTTGGACAAGTAATTTTCAGCCAGAGGGACATCCTTTGCAGTCCGGGGGTAGTGTACTACTTATGAATACAAAAGTGTTGCTTTATTTTAAGAGTGAACCTCAAAACAAGTCATCAACCTTTAATATATTTCCACTCTAGGTCATCAATTAATATACAAATGACAAATTAATTTTAAAAAATAATTTTTTTTTCATTTGTATCTTAACTTCTAGATTATAAAAACAAAGGAATAAGAAACGTGAAAATTAATAATTAAATAAATTCAATCGAGTTGAAAAAAATTAAATAACCTAGAAAAAACAACTTGTCTTAGCTAATTCTTTTAGTTTTTCTTTTTATTTAAAATGGTAAATTATTAATTTTTATGTTTACTTTAACTCGAATTTTTTTCTTCATTTCTTAAATTTTTTTTAAAAAAATTTATAATCTAGAAGTTAAAATACAAAAGAGAAATAAATTTTTAAAATTTAGAATTATACTGCTAGTGTATACAAGTTAGGAAGTATAAGAAGAAGAATTGTAAGAAAAAAAATAAAAAATTTTAAGATTAGAAAATAAAAAAATAATAATAAAATGACAAAAATACCCCTGAACCCAAAAGCATGTGAAAAATGGATTTCCGTCACTATTTAATGGCCAAAATTAATAGCATAATCTAAAATGGATTAAAACTTTAGTAAGGTAGCATGTGTTACAAATAAATTTAATTGATGACCTAGAGTGGAAATATATTGAAGGTTGATGACTTGTTTTGAGGTTCACTCTTATTTTAATTTAGTAATAGCATGCGTTTGATTTATGAGATTTGGATACTTTTATGTAGTCTTTCTGGAACTGCTTTATGGGGGACATCTAACCACTCTCTTTGCCGCTAAATCTTTTCATGTTCTTTCCGTTCAGGCTCGACTTGCCTTTTGCAAGTTTATGGTGAAGCCTTCAACACTGCTTATCCTGGATGAACCAACAAATCATTTGGATATACCATCAAAAGAGATGCTTGAGGTTCATTTGCTCATCCCTTCCATGCATTAAAAATCCACACGAATTTGCATGGTTGAGTAACTTCTAGTGTATTTTTATGATTGCATAATTTGTTTTTGGTTTTCTAGGAGGCAATAAATGAGTACCAGGGAACTGTCATCACTGTATCCCATGATCGGTACTTCATAAAGCAAATTGTTAACAGAGTGCTGGAAGTGAAGGATGGACATTTGGAAGACTACAATGGAGATTACAATGTAAGTGTTCTTACCAACACTTTGGGATTGCCAATTTTAACCCGATTCTGCAGTTATTTTCTGGGAAACTCCAGTTCCTTAGGGGTTTGTTTCTTAAGTAGCGTTGCGTTGTTTTATTATCCTAAAATTTACACAGAGGATGACTTGAACGAAAACCGGAGATCTTTCTTGGACCTCATTCTCATTAAATTCCCATTTTCGGCTAACTATAGTCATGAATCTTTGAATTTGCATTTTGCAGTATTACCTTGAGAAGAACCTCGAAGCAAGGCAAAGAGAACTTGAACGCGAAGCAGAACTTGAAGCCAAGTCCCCTAAGGCAAAGGCCAAATCTAAGATGTCCAAGGTAATGATGTTTAATCATTAATGTCATCTAGGACGATGTACAATTATTGTGTGCTCAACCTAATCAAGCCATTTATTTGATACATTTGCGTCTTTGTTCTATCAGGCTGAGAAGGAAGCTAGGAAGAAGCAGAAAATGCAGTCAATTCAAGCCGCAAAGCAGAAGTCCAAAGGAACAAAGAATGCTAAAAGATGGAACTGAAATATAGTGAAATAGTTCTACAGAATTAATATATTACCCTGTAAAAAGTCCTGGAAAGGATGCATTTCAATTATCTTTTCCATTCTGTATATAACAATGAAATAGAATAGTGATTACATTTTGACACAGCTGATGAACATATATTATGATCTACTATATAGTAGATCCTACTACTTGATGGATGAAGATTCGGTAATTGCTGTAGACTGTAAAGATTAACTACAGTCTACAAATTCAACCCTTCAAAAAAAATAACATATAAAAAATACTAGAAGTGTGGAATCTAGTATATACAAAAATTCGAGTATTTTCTATTTTCCGAGATCATTATCATATTTGTAAGTTGTACTAATATATGTTATAAAACCGCTATGGGTGCTTCCAGACGTTTTAAAAATTGAAATATGTAGTAATGCAATTAAGGTATCTTAGAGATGAGGTAGAAGAAGTAAGCAAACTAGCTTATGATGCATAATTCTTTAACCGTACATTTTTCATAATGAGATACACTTATTTAAAGAAAAAAAATACTTACCTCCGTCCCACAAGAATGGTCCATGTTGGATTTTGAAATTTATACTAAAAAAAGTACAAAACTTAAAAATCAATGTAGACTATTTTTTTTTTTGGACGGAGGGAGTATAATAAAATCAGTTCCTACCAATTTCTTAGAAAAATAAAAAGGATTTTCGAAAAAAAAACCCTCCAATAATTCAATTTTGAGGTATATGCAATTTCCAGTTCAGTCCCCAACTGGGAGGTTACTGAACGCTTTAGTTTTTTCATTTAAGTGCCTTAAAAAAATTTAAAAAGACTATTTTGCCCTCACATATATATATATTTTTTTTTTAAAAAGGGAAGGAGTGACGCATTTTTTAGACTGGCGCAGGAGAAACACGCCACCCTCACGGGTGGCGTGCACTTTTCTCGCCACCCTTCTTGGGGTGGCGAGCAATTTTTGTGCCCTTGAAAAGGGGGTGGCGCACAAATCATGCTGTCACGGACAGTTTTTCTTCACCACGAATTCGGGTGGTTTGATGCGAAACGGGCTATTTTCGTAGACGGACATGGGACGGAACGGTCTAGAGCCTTGTGGAATTCTCCAGTCAAATCTTGAAGACTCTGGAATTTTCTAGAGAAGCCCGGAACTCTCTAGAAACGAGTGGAACCGTGTGGAAGCTACCCGAGTTTGCTAGAACCGTGTGGAAGATTCTAGAGACTCGTAGATATTTTGAACTTAGAATATTTTATTGTAGGAATTCTCTAGAATCCCATTATTTTATTATGTACATAGAATTCTCTAGAATTCTTTAGGACTTGGGGGTTTGCCTATAAATACCCCATGCCCCCCCTTCATTTGTATCCATCCAAGCTTTGAGTAGAGTTCTCAAGCATTCCTTAAGCTCTCTTGTGCCTTCATCATTCTTTCACTTTCGACCTTTCTTAAGTTTTTCTTTGCCTCCGTTCTTTAAAGTCTTGTCTAGCTTTGCACGCTTTGGGGGTCTTAAGGCTGAGCTAGCACTTGATCGTTAGTTGTTTTGTGCTAGTGCCGCACGGCCGTTACTTTGAAAAAGTAAGCCCGTGACAGTTGGTATCAGAGCCTCGGCTCGATACTTGGTGTGCTACATCGTCTACGCTTCCATTTGTTGGTTTTCTTTCGTGCATAAGCTATGTCCAACCCTTCGGAGGTCGTTCAAGGGTCGGAGCTTGAGGGGGATCACGTTTCCGTGAGGTGGGGAGGACCACCCGCAAAGGAACCCGTAAGGAGAAGTCGGTCGTTAGGGAGCCGATGGTGGAATTGGAGAAACGGCTTGCCAAGCTAGAGCTTGCTGTGGCCGACCACCAAGACCGTTGGGACGAGCACCCTGAGGTGGTAGCAGGGGTCGTCGAAGCTCGCATGGAGCGATTCGCAGGGGAATTGCAAGAGGTCATGCAGCAAATGAAGGACGACATGCTAGGGACGCTCAACGAAATGGTGGAACGTTGCAACAAGTCGAAAGAGGAAAGCCTTGCTCGTGTTGCCGCCCTCCAAGACGACGTCAACCGGCTTATGGGGGAGCTGGAGACTTCTCGGGCAGAATCGGCGCGTCTTAAGGCACGGCTTGACACCGTGGCCGTGCAAGGGACAACCGGAGCCGTGGGGACGGTTCCAAGGCTTGAAGCGCCCAAGCCGGACGAATACAAGGGCAGCCGTCGCTTGAGGGACGTAGAGAACTTTCTCTACAGTATGGAACGGTACTTTGGGGCTATGAATATCATGGACGACTCGGTAAGACTCTTCCAAGCCTCTCTTTATCTTAAAGATAGTGCCTTATCATGGTGGAAACGTATGATGAAACCCGTGGGGGATGGAGACCCGGTCTTCACCACGTGGGATGGTTTTAAGGAAGAGTTTAGAAAGTATTTCCTACCCGTGGATGCGGAAGACGAAGCCCGGGCCAAGCTTCGTCGTCTGCACCATAGGGAAGGCCAAATCCGGGAATACGTTAAGGAATTTTCGGACTTGATGCTTGAAATTCCGGATCTCTCGCCCAAGGAGGCGTTCTTTACTTTCATGGACGGTCTCAACCGTTGGGCCAAACTTGAGCTACAACGGAGAGAAGTCCAGGACATCGATCGGGCGTTAAAGGTGGCCGAGTCGCTTGTTGAGTTCCAAAAGAAGGATAGCTCCAAGGACAAGGGCAAGAAGCCGTTCCAAGGCAAAGGTGGGGGAGACAAAGGGAAGTCTTCCACACCCGCGAAACCGGCAGCCGACTCTACAAAGCCGTCTTCGAGCAAGGAGACCAAGGGGGACAAGCCAAAGAAGTTTCAAGGGTGCTTCTTGTGCGGGGGAGCGCACATGGCACGTGATTGCCCGTCTCGTTCGAAGTTGGCAGCATTGGCACAAGGTTTGTGCCAAGAAGAGGAGAAACGGGTCGCTTGCATGAAACGGCTAGACGCCGTGCATGCCAAAGCCGAGACACGTCAAGGCCGTCTTTACATGGAGGCATCGTTCGCAAACGGGTCTAGATGGGGCATGCTAGACACGGGGGCCGACACGAGTTATCTCACGGAAGAGGTAGCAAGTTCGCTTGGCGTCAAGTGGACACCTAGCAAAGGCCGTTTCAAGGGTGTGAACGGCGAATGGACGGGTCTTGTAGGCGAAGCCAGGGATGTGCCTCTTAAAATCGGCAACTGGTCAGGTACGGCCAATTTCTCCATCGCACCTATGGATGATTATGGTCTTGTGTTTGGCATGGAGTTTTTAGACCAGGTAAAGCCGATCATCGTGCCTAGCAACGACACGATGGTGATCCTCCAAGGCGAGAAGCCTTGTGTGGTAAAGTTTAGACGGGAAAATGAGATTAGCCCTTCCCAGCTGAACAAGGGGCTAAAACGGGGTGAACACACCTTTGCCGCCATGGTGTTTGAGGAGGAACCATGCATAGAGGAGCCGGCAAAGGAGGAACGAATCCCGCCTCCCATAGAGCGAGTCCTTGTTGAGTTCAAGGACGTGATGCCTGACGATTTGCCCAAAGGTCTTCCACCAAGGAGGGAGGTTGATCATGCCATCGAGTTGGTGGATGGGGCGAAACCGATAGCCAAGGTGCCTTATCGTATGTCCCCTAGTGAGCTAGAGGAGCTCAAGGTGCAAATCAAGGAGCTACTTGAATCGGGTCATGCAAGGCCGTCTAAAAGTCCGTGGGGTTCGCCGGCCTTATTCCAACGCAAGAAAGATGGGACGCTACGTTTGTGCATCGACTATCGGGCGTTAAACAAACTAACCGTGAAGAACAAGTACCCTATCCCACTTATAGCGGACTTGTTCGACCGGCCGCAACAGCACGGATCTTTTCCAAGCTAGACTTGCGGAAGGGATACTACCAAGTACGCATAGTACCGGTGATGAACCGAAACGGTCATGGTGACGAGGTATGGCTCTTATGAGTTTCTTGTTATGCCGTTCGGTTTAACTAACGCCCCACCACGTTTTGCACTCGATGCAACGTGTGCTAGCAGATTTCATTGATAAGTTCGTTGTAGTATACTTGGACGACATCGTTATCTATAGTAACACAATGAAGGAGCATGTGGAGCATCTTAGAGCCGTTTTCAAGTCCTTAGGGAAAACCAGCTCTATGTTAAAAGGAGAAGTGTTCCTTCGGCCTTGAGGAGGTGTCGTTCTTGGGACACATCATTGGTAGGGGCAAAATCCGCATGGATCCGGCCAAAATCAAAGCTATCGTGGAGTGGGAGGCACCCACGAAGCCAACGGAGCTGAGATCGTTCTTGGGGCTTGTTAATTACTATAGGCGGTTTATTGAAGGGCACTCCGCTATAGCCGCTCCACTAACGGATCTCTTGAAAAAGGGGCAAGCTTGGTGTTGGACACCAAAACACCAAACAGCGTTCGAGGCTTTAAAGGACGCCGTCACTCGAGAGCCAGTCCTAGCTCTCCCTGATTTTGAGAAACCGTTCGAGGTGTGCACGGACGCTTCAGACTTCGCCATTGGGGGCGTTCTCATGCAAGATGGTCATCCGATCGCCTTTGAAAGTCGCAAGCTGAATGAGACCGAGAAAAGGTGGCCGACGCACGAGAAGGAGATGTTGGCTATAGTTCACTGCCTTAGAGTTTGGGAGCATTACTTGAAGGCCGCCACACCGTTCAAGATCAAGACGGACAATCGGGCAGTGAGCTACCATCAAAGCCAACCTAAGCTTTCAAGCAAGCAAGCGCGTTGGTTGGACTTCTTGGCCGAGTTTAAATACGAGCTTGAGTATAGCCCGGGGAAGACTAACCACGTGGCCGACGCCCTAAGCCGAAGGCGTGTCTTGCTCCAATCGTTAGCATACCCGAGGGAACGCTGGTTGATCGCATTAAGAAGGGTCTTGAGCACGACCGTCAAGCCCAAAGGTTTATGGAGCTCGTGAAGGAAGGCAAGACAACGCGGTTCTGGCTTGAGGATGGGATACTTTATGCCAAAGGGAACCGTTTGTACGTGCCCGCATGGGATGGACTTAGAAGGGAGATTCTAAGGGATTGCCATGATAGCCGTTATGCGGGTCACCCAGTGCGCATCGCACACTTGCCTTAGTACATGAACGGTTCTATTGGCCTCGCATGCGGGAAGACGTGGAGACATATGTAAGGACTTGTCTAGTTTGCCAACAAGACAAGACCGAGCAAGACCACCCGCATGGCTTGTTATCACCCTTGCCTATTCCGAACGCCCGTGGGACAGCGTTTCGATGGATTTCATCGTGAGCCTGCCCGTTTCCGAGGGTTGCACCAACATACTTGTTGTGGTAGACCGTTTGTCTAAGTATGCGGTCTTCATACCCGCCCCAAAAGAGTGCACCGCGGAGATAACGGCCAAACTCTTTCTTAGGCATGTGGTGAAGTATTGGGGACTCGCCTACATCGATCATAAGCGACGTGGACTCAAGGTTCACCGGCCGTTTTGGCAAGAACTCTTTCGTTTGCTTGGGACGGAGCTCAAGATGTCTACATCTTTGCACCCGCAAACGGATGGGCGACGGAGCGCATCAACGGCCTCTTGGAGGTGTACCTTAGGCACTATGTGGCAGCCAACCAGAAAGATTGGGTACGTTTGCTAGACGTTGCCCAATTTTCCTATAACTTGATGCGGAGTGAGAGCACGGGCAAAAGTCCGTTTGAGATTGTCCTTGGTTTCCAACCGACTACGCCTAAGGACATTCTTGGGGGCTATAAGGGCAATAGCCCACCCGCATACAAGTTTGCCAAAGATTGGCAAGAACGGGCCGACGAGGCAAAACTCTACTTGGAGAAGTCGGCCGCACGCATGAAGAAATGGGCGGATAAGAAACGGACCCATCGCGAGTTTGAAGAAGGCGACCAAGTCTTGGTGAAGCTTTATGAGCATGGACGGAGCCGTGGTCTACACAAGGGTCTCATGCGCAGATACGAGGGTCCTTTCACCGTTCTTAAGAAAGTGGGTTCGGTTGCTTACAAGTGGAGCTACCCGAGGCCTTTTCAAGGCTTCATCCAGTCTTTCATGTGAGCCTACTTAAGCCATACCGCAAGGACCCGGAGGACGAAGAACGGAACGTTTCCACAAGGGCACCACCGGCGTACGCGAGCATGAGGAACGGACCGCAGAGGAGATCCTTTCTAAGAGGATCGTTCGGGCGAGCGGGGCAGCAACTAAAGAATACTTGGTGAAATGGAAGAATTTGCCAATGAGTGAGACGAGTTGGGAGCCAATCGAGAAGCTTTGGCAATTCACCAAATTGATCGAGGACTTTGAGGAGAATCGTGCACCCATTCCTATCAACATTGCCTTCGAGACTTAGGTGCATCGGGCGATGCACCATTTTGGTGGGGAGGATGTCACGGACAGTTTTCTTCACCACGAATTCGGGTGGTTTGATGCGAAACGGGCTATTTTCGTAGACGGACATGGGACGGAACGGTCTAGAGCCTTGTGGAATTCTCCAGTCAAATCTTGAAGACTCTGGAATTTTCTAGAGAAGCCCGGAACTCTCTAGAAACGAGTGGAACCGTGTGGAAGCTACCCGAGTTTGCTAGAACCGTGTGGAAGATTCTAGAGACTCGTAGATATTTTGAACTTAGAATATTTTATTGTAGGAATTCTCTAGAATCCCATTATTTTATTATGTACATAGAATTCTCTAGAATTCTTTAGGACTTGGGGGTTTGCCTATAAATACCCCATGCCCCCCCTTCATTTGTATCCATCCAAGCTTTGAGTAGAGTTCTCAAGCATTCCTTAAGCTCTCTTGTGCCTTCATCATTCTTTCACTTTCGACCTTTCTTAAGTTTTTCTTTGCCTCCGTTCTTTAAAGTCTTGTCTAGCTTTGCACGCTTTGGGGGTCTTAAGGCTGAGCTAGCACTTGATCGTTAGTTGTTTTGTGCTAGTGCCGCACGGCCGTTACTTTGAAAAAGTAAGCCCGTGACAATGCGCCACCCCCGGTTTGGCGAGCAAACCGCTCGTCAAACCGATTGGGTGGCGGTACAACCGGCTGCCACTCTTTTTTTAATTTATTTTTAAAAAATTTATTTATTTAATTAATTCTTTAATTTATTTTATTTATTTATTTAAGTATATTTATTTATTTGTTTGGCGGTTAAATAAATAATTTTTTAACTTAAATATTTGGAGAATGTTGCTTAATTTTGCATAGTAAATTTATTATTTAATTATTTAGAATTTTTTAAACTTAAACAAAAAAATTAACATTTAATAACAACTAAAACTTATGAATTTACTACCAAAAAAATTATTTATAAATAACTAATAAAAATACACTAATTATTTATATATTAATGAAAAATTATCATTTACTACCAACTGAAAAATTATCATTCTCTAAATATTTAAATTAAAACCTTGAAATTTCTTAGCATAGTGGCTCGTTAAGTGAAAATCATATCATCCAGAATTGGAAACCCGTCCTTGTGCAATTTATTTATGTAGTTGTAAACTTGTCTGGAGGTAACATTTTCATCAGGAAATTGTGTCCATATCGCCCGTAAAATATGAACTGCCTTAGTCCCAACTTTAGAATACTCTTCAATGAGCTCTCTCACTTCTACGCTCAGTCCGCTCCTAACCCGAGACGGATCTGTCAAAAAATAGTTATGCATTTCCCACGGACCGGGATATACACGAATCGTCCACCTATCACATATTTTGTAGACAGTAATACGAAACTGGCATCCGGTCATCTGTGTCTTCGTATTGGGTCGGGCGCGCATGGTTTCGTCCACCTATTGATCTTGGTATCGGCCTCCTATATGACAAAGGAGTATAGTATGACTATTCTTATGCGAAGATATACATAACTCCACGTTGTACATATTGCAATACCCTTCTCATATGCAATAGCGTCAGGCCTTTCGGCAAAAGTCTCGTTTGTACCAAAAGTCGAATTATAATCAGTGCCATCCCCTTGATCAAACCTATCATGCATATATTAAAAATGAATTATATCATAACTTAAATTACTTATAATAATATTAAACCACAAATAATTCATTATAAACAAAAACATAATATATAATCCAATATAACGATGTTATACTTTAAAGATAATTAATTAACATAATATATACTAATAAAAAACTAAATACATTATTAACAAAAATTTACCATTTTAATATAAAACTATAACTTATGAACATATTACCTAATTAACCAATTCTTTCTAAACTAACAACAAATTAAACACATATTTAACCAAAAAAAATATTTTATACGAACATATTACGTAATTAACATAATTTAAACATATAACAAACTAAACACAAAATTAACCAAAAATTTATCTATTTAATTTAACAACTATAACTTATGAACATTATATGTAATTAAGAAACATTCTCTAAATATTTAAGTTAAACATTATTTATTTACCAATACCATAAACCCTAAATATTAAGATAAATTATCCATTTAACTACCAATTAACATACATTTTCTAAACAAATATTAAACTACCAAACAAATACTCAAATAAAATAAATAAATAAATACATGAATTAAATAAATTTATAAAATTAATAATTTAAATAAATAAATAAAAATAATTAAATACACTAAAAATAATTAAATTAAAAATAAAATGAGTGGCACACAAAATGGCGCCACTATCGAATGGTTGGCACCTAGACTTTTGGGAGCCACACTTTCGTCAGAGACGAAGGTTTTTTCGCCTCCCTATAAAGAGAGACGAGATTATACTATGCCACCCCGTAAAGAGGTGGAGTGTTCGGCTGGCGCAATTCTTTCTCGCTCTCTTTTTTTAAGAAAAAATAAAAATTAAGAGTAAAACTATCTTTTTATATCTTTTTAAGGTGTTTAAAAGGAAAAAATTAGGGCGCTCAGCAGTAACACCCTTCCCAAATTTAAGCCAAAGGAAAAACCTCGTTAACTAACTCGGCCAGTTCCTTAAACCCCAACGATTTCCCTCTCTCGCAAACCACCGCCTCCCGCCTCCTTCAGTAACCGGAGCACTGCTCAATAACGTATCCTCTTGGAGAATAACATAAGGTAGGTCTCCTTCTTTGTTTCTACCCTGCTTCTTTTTTCGGTGAATTCTTGTTGTATGTATCCAATGAAGGTTAAGATGGAGCTGAATTTACTGTTTATGGTGCCGTCTTAGGATTTAGCTAAGATAGCAATAAGGGAAGTTAGCTGAATTCCTTGTTTTTTTGCGTCAAATAATTTATTGGGATGTAGCTGAATTCATTGTTTATGGTGCCTTCTTTGGCTTTAGCGAAGATAGCAATGGGAGAAGTTATGTTGGGTATGCCCGGACCTTGGGCTGATGATAATTATGACGTGGCTGATCATTATACTACAAAAATTGGAGGAGCTCCGGTGAGTTTTCGTGTTTAATTTTGATTTACAAGGACTTACACAGTTGCAGATGAACTTTTTCCAAGTTAATTTTTTTTTCCCCTTCCGTTTTGGATAGGATTGGCCAATTCCTGATCTTGTCATTAGCGCAGACCTACTTGTATGTGGAGGCTGTAAAAGCAAACTCTGTCTGCTCGCTCAGGTTTAGCATTATCTCGCTTCTGCGTTGTTTAATGTGTATGTTCATACCTGCATATGAAATTCTTTGTATTCATGTCAGTGGGTTTTGGTTTTTGGTTTGTGTATGTTTTGCTCAGGTTTATGCACCAATTTCGACTAAGAATCTGAACATTGAAGAACGTGTTCTGTATGTTTTTGGTTGTAGCAAGCCTCAATGTGGGAATAATACATCAAGGTTAAACATTCGTGCAATGCTATCATATGCTAAAATAGTCTTTATTCTAGATCTTTTGAACTCTATTTCTCATTTGTATTTATTTCCTTTGATTGGCTTGATGGTAGTTGGAGAGTTCTACGAGTGCAAAAGCCAACCTCCAGTGAAGAACCAGTACAACCGTGTCTTGATGTTCCCCCATTGGCATCACCTTCTCATACAGCTCCTAAGAATGGTTGGCAAGAAAAATTTTTTACATTTGATGCTGGGGAGGATGCTGATGGTGGAAATTATGATGACTTAGATATGGAGGACTTGAGCAGGGCATTTGCTGAAGCTGCAAGTTTAAGTTCCAGTTCAAAGAAGCAAAATTTTGATCCTTTGTCTCCTTTAAAACTCCCTGCTTCAGGCCAGAAATGTAAATTACATGATAACAAATTTGCAGGTATTCTTGGGCTCTTTTCTGGTGAAAAACTCTGACTTTGTTCTTGCATGACATGGAACTTATTCTTGATGCTTTTCCAATACCTAACTTTGTGTGCACATATCTCTGCTGTTGCTTTTGGGGAAATAATATCTGTATTACATGTAATTCATCTTGAAATGAGTCGAGAACTTGCTGACACCCCCAACTTTCTTTTTGTTGAGAATTTAACTTTTGATTTGAATATAAACGAAGCATTATTAATTGTACCAGTAAGCATGATACCATCAATCTGTCACATTAATATTGGACGATAATTGTTTGAGGGCACAATCTAGCAAATGTTATATTTGAGATCCATTTAAGATGTTTGTTTCTTCTTTATGCATATGTTTAGTCATACACAATAATTCGATCCCAAACATGATTAAAAATGTCTAGAATTGTGATGGACGAGTGTATATTTCAAAAGGGATGCAAGATAATCAGGAAAACATGCTCTTTGTTTGAGAAACATTTGAAGACAAAATCTTTTGGTTTATTATTGGTTGCAGTTATCCCTTGCTTCTATATATATGCTCAAGAGGAGAAATTTTCAAAAAATACCAAGGCATTGAATTCAAAATGTCAGTCTCTCCCTTCGCATCAAGGTGAACTTGAACTGGATGATCGTTCACGAGAAGAGGCTTGGGAAGGGGAGATTTACGAACATGATAAAGCCTTGTATGCCGACCGGACTTACCTCAAGTTCAAGAAGCGAATTGATGCAAATCCTGAACAATGTTTGAGGTAAAGTCATGAGCAGTAATTGTAGCCAATTTTCCCTCTCATGGATTAACTTCTTTTTATGTGATGATAAAGTGCTTTCTGTGGAAGTAAAGATGTACTGAATAGAAAATATTTGAAACGAGTTCTAGTTTCAGGTACCTTTTGGCTCTTACTTTGTGGCAAGAATGAGTTTTTGTTCTTTACCTTTTTGCCTTTTGTATTTTTTCTTTTCTCTTATAAAAGCCTTTCGTTGTTATTAAGAAAACCTTCTGATTGATTGTAAAATTTCGTCTTCTTCACTAAATCTACGTTGGGATAAATTTCTACTCCTGTCCCTTGCCTATTTAATAAAAAGATGGTTGAGCATGATTTCATTAAGAGGAACCAATATACAGTTTGCCTAACCTGACTGCATGATCTAGTTAGTTCCAAACTGTTCTTGCCACCTTGAAAATGTCTTAGGACTCATATATTCCTGCGGTCTAAGTTTCTGGAATGATGTTATTCTCAGATATTCATATGGTGGGAGGCCGTTGATGGCTTCTTTGAAGATGGGAGATCCAGGCACATGCAGCCTCTGTGGTGGGCGGAGGCACTATGAAATGCAGCTGATGCCTCCATTGTTGTATTTCCTACAAGAAGCAGCTAGTGGTGAACAAAAGAATTCCTTGGAGAACTGGAACTGGTTGACTCTGATTATCTATACATGTTCTAAGGTGAGTGTCTTATTCTATAGTCTGATATATGATGCTAATATTTTGGCCATATTTGCAATGCAATGATGTGGTTAGTTCCCAGAATTCTTGCAGAAATTTACTTTTACTGCTAGCTTACCGTACAAAACATGGACTTTAGAGTTGCTCCACTATCAGATTATGGAAGACACTTTCAAAGTTTTTCTGTATGATATATCCATCTTTTCACCAGTGAATTTGGCTAGAAAAGGAAATGGGCAGATATTACCTAACAAAAAAATAAATAATAAATTGAGAAAGAAAGAAAAGTTTCCTCTGAATTGTTTTGTACAAAAAGATGCTCAAGAGCTTGACTCATTTATTCTTGGAAAAGAAAGTGAAACTGATATGAACCAGTTTTTTTATGAGGTTTTCCTTCATGCAACTGGGAAATTATGCTAATAGTGTGGTCTTGTTCAATCTAACTCCATGAATCTATCTTCGTATCGACCTCTATGGTTTCAGTATCTATCTTCTGTCTCACATCATGCAGTCTATTAAATGCTTGCACTATCATACCACCTCACATCTAATTCAACCTCAGAAAATGAAGTATTTTTATAGTAGCGGCGTCCTATTCTAATACTGTTACCAACTTTAATGATGTGTATTTGAGGTGACCGGACCATCTAGCATTCTTTTTCCCAATTGTTAACTCTTTCATGGACCGCAGCTTAATTAATTCTTTAGATACATTTGTTCGCCTGTGACTGTTGTTCCTATCTGAGCATCATGTTTCCAGAACTACATATGATATTATGTCTCTTTTTCGGATGTAGAGTTGTACGGGGTCATTCCATGAAGATAACACTGGTAGTCAAGGCTGGAGTGTGGCCGAGGAAGCTGCTATTGTACAATTTGAATAACATCCCATATCACAAATCACAATGATATTTGTTGTATTCTATTAAGCTGCAGAAAATAATCATGTTATTAAACATTTTATTATCTCGGAAATAGATTTACATATAAATTATTATTATTATCGCCCACATCGATTACATTATACTTTGTTCCTTAATTTAAAAATGGAAGGACAAGAAAGCTTAAAACATTTTATTATGAGATGTACTTAAAACCTCATAACAAATTGCACATTCTCAAAATGGCACTTCTACTTTGGGATAATGTACTATTAGTCGTATTTGCTTACCAGATTTATTACGTAGGTTAGTATCAACAACAAAAAGAAAGCCAAAGGAATTTTATTTTATTTTTTACAAACTACAAAGTAACCTTGAGTTTGGATTAAAATTTTGTCAAGTAGTCCTTTTATTTTTTTATCTTTTTTTCTTTTGGTTGGCTTTTACCTTGTCTGTTATGGATTCAAAAGATGAAATAAGCAATTTTGAGCAATCATCTCTCAAAATCTTTGGCTTAATTGCTTGATAATCTGAAAGTTAGTCCAGTTGGGCACTTCTAATTTTCACCTTAGGTTGTGCAATTTTGAATGTCTGTTTTTTTTTTTGGTATCTTTGTTGGTGGATTATCATTACCTTTCAGTATAGTAAAAAAACCATGGAAAGATAAATTTCAAATTTAGTTTTATTGATCTGTGCTGAAGGATGTTTTCACCCCTTAATTGATTACAGTGTGTGGCCACTTGAGAAGAATCATCATTTAAAACATGCCGGAATTCTTTGTGTTATTCTTAATTGAATCTGCTAACGAAGTATTTATGATCCGGTATTTCAGCTTTTCACCAATTTGCTTTAATCTTCAAGTGTTCTGCAACGCAGCTAATTAAGCATACATTGAAAGTTCGCAACCATATTGCATTGTGAAAATATACTTCTAAAGGATGAGCGCGGGTGAGGTCTCTGCGGTGTAAAATCAGCTCTCGGCGTTGATTGTAGCTGAGGCGAAGTTATTAGGAGGGCTTCAAAAAGAGATGCAAGGCATCAAAGATGAACTTGAGCATATGAAAGCTTTCTTAATGTTTGCAGAAGATAAGAGCAGAAGAGGATCCCAGGCTTCAGGTATGGATTTCACAAGTGCAGGATGTTGCTTATGATATTGAAGATGGTGTGGGTGAATTTCTACTGCATTTTAGTCATAATTATGGAAATGGTCTTTATGGACATGCTGAAAAGGTTTTTAACTCAATCAAAAATATGCGCAGACGTCATGACATTGCTCAAAATGTGTTCAATCCATAAAGTTGAGAATCACAAGTATTTCTGCAAGTCATAGGAGGTACCAATCTGAATGTGGTATCTCTAGCCAAGCCTCCTTTTCTTCTTTGGCCGTGAATAACTCATGGAACGCCTACAAAGATGCAGCCCTTCTTGTAGACGAAGCGAAGCTTGTAGGTATCGATCACCCAAAGCAGCTTCTAGTTTCTCAACTTCTTGATGGTAATTCCCAGTTTAAAGTTATCGCAGTTGTGGGTATGGGAGGGATAGGAAAAACTACACTAGTTTAAAAAGTTCACGGAATTTCATATCCTTGCCTGGGTGACTGTCTCCCAAAACTGGGACATTAAGGAGTTGCTCAAAGACTTGATTAAACGTCTGTGTACAGAAACTCAGAAGCCTGTTACTGAAAAAAGTAGCCTCCATTACAAGTACCCATGAGCTGAAAGCACATGTCAAAGCAATTCTCCAAAATAAAAGGTGTCTCGTTGTGTTTGATGATGTTTGGGATACAAGATTCTGGGATGCTATTAAGTTTGCTTTGTGTGAAGGTGATTGCGGCAATCGTGTAATCCTCACAACCCGAAGACCAGACGTGGGTCGTTCTTCCTGTGGTGAGTTCCAAAGCTATGTCCATAAAAGGGAGCCCTTATCCTTTGAAGATTCTTGGACACTCCTCTGTAAGAGGACCTTTAGAGGTGATTCTTGCCCTATCCATCTAAACAATGTTGTCGAAAGAATTCTGAAGAAGTGTGGAGGATCACCACTGGCAATTGTTGCGATTGGTGGGGTGTTGGCTTTAAGAGATCAAAGTAAGATAGCCGAATGGAAGGTTATTGAATGTAGTATTGGTGGTGGACTCGAGCTTAACGATCAGCTTGATCCAGTTAGCTACAATGAGCTTCCGCACCATCTGAGAACTTGCTTCTTGTATACGAGTATTTTTCCAGAGGATAGTAAAATAGAAGAACAGAGACTAATTCGATTATGGATCTCAGAAGGACTTGTGTTGGAGAATGCAAGGATGACCAAATACGAGATGGCAAATGCATATCTTGATGAACTTACTAACAGAAGCTTAATTCAAGCTACTCAATTTTCTAATCCATCTTTTAGAACCTACCATATTCATGACCTTATACGAGAAATTGTTCTTTCAGAGTCAAGCAGACAAAACTTTGCAACCATAGTCACAGAAGAACGGAGTGTATGGCCTACTTGAACAAGCTCCAAGTTCTATATTTGGAAGATATGCGCGATAAAGTGATTGTCCAGCTTCAGGACCAGGATGAAGAAAGTGAAGATTTTAAAAGAATTAGACACATCCCCAAAATTTTGATAAGGGATGATGTGGATGGATGGTGCAGGCATCCAAAATATTGGAGGACAAGGAAGTAAAACTGAGGTGAGAAACATGTTGTTATGCAAAATTACAAATCGATTCTATATCCATGTATATTGCATTTCTGCTTTCGTTTTTGTTAATGTGTTTCTTTCGATTCAGGAACAGCATATGAGGCTGGAGAGTTAGATTGAGGGTGGAGCAGCAGTTGACTGATGATGATCCCTGTTACAATGTCAAGTTCTGATTCGACCTTTTTCTACGTGGAAGCAGATCACCCCGAAAAATTTCTTTGTCATGAGATTTCTTTGTGGAGCTGTTTCTGTTTCTTATGGCCTGGATCAGAGTCTTTAGTAGGATAATAAAGCGGAGGACCTTTGTTTCTTAGGACAATATTGAAAAAAAAGCTGTACTATGAATGCTGCTGTCCGTTTGCATTCAGTAGATGGTCTTCTCTTCTCTTTATAAATGTCTGAATGTTGCAGATCGTATTTCTTGGTGTTATTCTGTTTGGGATCTAAACCAGAAAGCGGTGATTAACAATAAACGATAATTTGTTGCAAACCCTTCTGTCATTAAATGGATAGAAATTAGGGGTTATTTTGCTCCTTAAGTTGTGAAACTTAACAATGGTCGCCAAATAATGGACATCAAAATTACACTCCATGTGGATGCAAAGCAATTTTATCTCTCAATCTATGCGTAGTTCTCTGATTGCCAAAACCAAGCCACTTTTCCTGTCAAACTATAACTATTCACAGATATACTTTTTTACAATTTGTCAAGAATAACATTTCTTTAACAGCACAAAAAATGTTAAGGAATTTTGTTGCGAGTTATTTATTGTATGAAGTTACTTGTCAAATTAGAGTTGCATTTTCTGGATGAAAAATGGAGTTTTGAAGTACAAATTTTTATTTTTTATTTTGTGAAAAGGGTTTTGAAGTACAATTAATTACACATAAAGTACCAAAAAGTGCTCATTGTCTTCATTTGAAGCATAATAAATTATGGTTTGAATATAAAACTGCAAGTTCTAAAACCTGTTTTATGAAGCGAAAAGGATAAAATGAAAATGTATAGGATAATAGATTTTACACATTGAAATCCAAAAAATATCTTTCCACCTTTCATACAGATGTGAACAATATAAAATATAGAGGAAGAAGTCTAGTGGCTGTAATTAGTCTTCACATTTTCACATCATAGTTCTACTCGAATTTCTTGACGAGAGATAGGTCATTAAGCATTTTGTCAATTGCTTCCTCATCGAGTTCACGTCCTCTATTCTGTTGACACAAAACATCACAGAAAGAAAAGTCTGTTAGATGAGGAACTAGGACAACACCAACTCCAGAACACACACACAAAAAAAAAATGACTGAGGGCATCTGTACAGTAAAATATCTTGAGGAATGATATCAAAGAGATGATATTACTACATTCCATAATACGCGAAATAATAAGGTATTCATGTCTTCTTTTATAAGTCACTAAACATCAGTATCCAAGTAAACTCCAATCTATGGATTGACTCTCCCTATCATTTTTGTGCATGCTAGAAACTTGCAGCTGGAAATAGTATAACAAATTTGCTGCTGTGAAAATAGAAGGATTCAACTGAAACTTTGAACAAACCAGAGAATAAGAATTGGAAGATGATCCAATCAAAATCGCAAAAGAGGGGTGATTATCTATAAACTTTTACTTCCCTACTATAATGAAAAGCAATAAGAAGTTTGAGGCCAAATGTTTAAAAGGCCTCCAGTCTTTATAACAATAATCTATTTCAGTCTTTATGGTTGCTTTCTATCAGGAGAGAGCAAAAGTTCCCCTACATTGCACAGATGAAATTCCCCTCCCTACGTTCAATTATTGATATTACAAATGAAATTTTAATCTTCTGAGCCAAAGAATGCTCTCAATAGCTTCTTCCCAACCATAACTAGTCCACCATCTAAAAAATCAATCTCCTCCACAGCGTAAACCACTTTGGTGGAATGTCACAAGCACACTCTCCATGCAGAGATACAATTAAAAGAATTGCTTGAGACACGTACAAAACAGATTACAATGAATCTAGCCGCAATGATAGGTGGGCAAAAGGCGAATAGAAATTCCAATTTGGTGAAGTCGGAATATGTGAGCGACATTGTTTCAAAAATAAAAAAAATAAAAAAAATAAATATATATAAACTAGAATCTTCAGCTCATAGATGGCATCTCCACTATTATTATTATTATAAAGTTGTGCAAGCAATCTTATTCGACAGATTAGAAAAACAAACAGAAGTACCTTGATTGATGGGACCATAGCAATAGCTTCTTCGGCAGTTTCTGGGCACAGATTACCAAGAACACAAAGCTGCAGTAAAAAAAATCAAAGGCTCTTTTAGGGTTCCTTGCAACAGGATAAAAAAGATGAAAATTACCAAAGTTGAGAGAGCACTTGCCTCAAATTCAGCCAACTGGTATCTGCTCAGGATTCTACCATTTCTTTAAGTTAAATCACAAAACATCTGGAAAAATATTTCAAGTTGATAAAACAAATAACTACCCTGATTATGTAACAATATAAAAAGGCTTCCTACCTTAAACAACTAAGGAAATCCATTACTAAGTCAAATAAAAAATGTTTCAAATCGATAAAACAAATAAATATCCTGATTATGTAAGAACATAAAAGTGGGCTTCCTACCTTAAACAACTAACGATATCCATTACTAAGATATTATCCGGCAGCCAACCCCCCAGCTCAAACACACACACAAACAAACAAAAAGAGATCATTATTGAAAAGGTTTCTGTTGATAGAAGGGCAAAATCATAAATAATTTGCACTAGAAATGAAATTTATGCTCTTAAACATCAGAAATGAAATTCACTATTTGCAGTAGCCACAGCAACTAGAACTATTACAAGTTTTAAAACGAAAACAATAGGTCATCTTGATTAATTACTAGGCCATAACAATATATAGTACTAAATTTAGAGCAGATTACTAAAAATCCTTTAGAGCATATCTATCATAATCCATCACTAACTTGTCCCAGATACATCTTATCGGTGATAAAATGTAGCAGAACTTCATATCTTGGAGCTCAGTGAAATACCAAAAAACACAAAAATTATTCTGCACTTACACAAACAAAACCAAGCTGATTAATACCCATAATTTTACAGGTATCTCTTAAACCTCCTAAACAATTTGGATTCATCACTATTCTACAACACAGGTGTTTCATTCACAGAACAACAATATGGTAAAAGAGTATCTAAATATGCATGGAAAAGTATCAAAAGGAACACGAAAATAGACGACAGAAGCTATTATTTGAGGATACTCTCGGACTTGTCTAACAGAATCAGGGTTCTTGTAGCGGCTGAAACGTTTGACATATTGCAATGACTTCTCAAAAACTCTGACAGGAGCAAAACCATAAATAAAGTCAAGAAACATTTTTTTTTTTAATCTCGAAAACTTTATATAAATAGGATGAAAGCTTCAGAAAAAGACTTACTGAGACATTTGATTCATTGGATCCTCAGCCATTTGTTGCATCTGCTCATATTTATGCTCAAGAATGAGGGAAACTTCACAATTCATCAAACATTTGGCCTTCAAAAATTCTGCAACAACCAGATGCAAGAAAAATCATGAGTTAGCACACATAGGTTCCTTCAGAATGATCATCGCCCCCAAACTAAGCAGTATGCAGCAAATCAGTTGTTCTCATAACCAGAAACACCGAACGGCTATTCCAGCAAACAAACTATATTTCCAAATTTTCATGAATAATGTGACCAACACAGAAACAGATAAGAGTGCATTACCATCTCCGATTTTGAGCTCAGCAGCATTCTCTTCCTCTTCTGCAGACATCTTCCAGCGAAGTGGAAATAGCACCGTCAATTAGAATCTTCCAACCTAAAATTACACCCAGAAAGCAACAAACAACAAAAAACTCGACTCATAAATTCCAAAAGGGTCCAATTTAAAAGCAGACAAAAGTGCAGCATTGTGTCAGTAAAAACAGGCTTCCACTACAAAGAAGAGGGTCCAATTCTCTTAAGCATCAGAGACGGTAAAAGAACCATGGAAATCCATAAGCTTAAATTCAATTTCACATCACACCGAACAAAAGAAAATAATCGAGCTTTTTCCGTGTGCTGTGCCCTATACCTAATCAGGCAAAATTAACCTAATGAATACCATTATTATGATGCTAAGGTTATCAAAAACGAATTTAAACTTTGACGAGAACGATCATTGAGATTGAGAACCGAGAAGAATAATTGGGGACTTACAGAGGTCGAAACTCGAAAGCCCAGAGGCACTTCGGTTTATGAGCAGTGTGAAGATGTGGGGGAAGAAAGAAGCTTTATAGCTCGGGTCGGGATCGTTTTATGAACTTAGCGAGTCAGTTGGTGAAATACCAGGATTTTGACCGAAATTTTTATGTTGACTCAAGTGCAAAATAGCAATTTCCGTCCAGTACAATTTTATTTATTTATTTCATGTACGTTATGCTCCGAAATCATTGTTTTAACTAATCCAAAATTTTATTTATTTTCTTCAAATGCCCAAATGGGAGTAATATCTAGAGCCTAGAGGTACCAATATATTTTATGCTCTATGACAAGAGCTCACTTTTTTTTTTTTACTTTTACTAGATGTTAAATTCGTGCGACGCACATGATTTAGTTAAACATAATACGGTTAAATCATCGAAAAATAAAATTATGACAAACACAAATGAAGTTAATGAATTGTGATGGTATATATCATATGATTAAATATAAATTATAAGAACTACTTACAAATATAAAAATATAAATTTGTATGTAACATCGAATTAAATATTGTGTAAATCTCAGTGGTGATAAAAGTAGAGGTCATATCATGTTTTATAATACTCCCTTCGGTCCTTAATATAAGACATTTTGATTTGTCATATGTTTTACTTACTATGTCTTTTTAATTTAAATAAAAATCTTAAAAATATTTCTTAATAATTAGGAGAACACAACAAATGTGAAAATATATTTTTAAGATTTTTTCTCAATTAAAAAAGATATTCTAGGTGAAAGTTTTGACAAAATTAAAATGCCTTATAATAAGGATCGGAGGGAGTAGTATAGAAAAAAATTTAAAAAATTAATCATGTATATAAATTGTATTGATTAAATTTATGAGGACTTTATTTGTTATTACACAAAGTTCTTTTATTTTGAATTCATAGAATAATGTCACATAAGATTTTTTCTTATGTGGCACTAGGAAGGATCCACCAATTTCTCTCTCTGGTTTCTCCTTTATAATAATACTAGATGTTTGGTCCAGGCAGATGCTCGGGCGCTCCTTCTAAATTACTATTTATTAAAATCTAATTGAATTACTATTTTTTGAGGAATTAATTTGGTGTATATATCATTTATGCTATGGTTTGGGGCTCAAGAAAATATACCTATAAATCTGAGGTTATAAGGGAATAATAAATAATTAGTTTATAAAGCATTATTCTTAATTACTGGATTTAAGTTTTTTTATTTTTTGTTTATATTAAGCCTGCAAAACTGTACGATTGGACATTTGAATTTGAATTAATATATCCATTCGTTTGAAATGTAACTGATTCTTATTTGTAGAATTTTTTCATTGGATAAGTGTCACATCTAAAACATGTGTTTTTTTTAAAAAAAAGAATTATATAGTTTCTAATTAAAAGAGACTTACACGTGACAAAAAGACTCCTGAAATCTAAATTATGGTGCATTGGAGCCAAACAGATGCATACGTAGTTGCCACATAAGCTTCATGTCTTCTGCTTTAATAGGGTAAAAGGGATACTATAGATAGATAGATAGATAGATAGATAGATAGATAGATAGATAACTTTTAATATTTTTAAAAATTATTTTACTTCCTCCGTCCCACAAAAATAGTCCACTTCCAAAATGTACAACTTTTTTAATTTGGTCAACCTAATCAATGTACAACTCATTTTTATCCACTAAACTTTCATATTTATCCTTATCCAATAATAAAACTAGAATCTGATTAATTTTTTCTCCCTCTTTCTCTCACCGCCGACAACCATTGGGACTGATTATAGCTTCCTCTGTTCGCCGATCATCACCTCCCATTTCCAATCAAATTTCTCCCATTTTCAGGCGTCCTTGAACACTACAACAGAGATGATAGAAAACCTCACCTCGTCAATTGATTAGATCTGTTTATTTCCTTTCGATGATTTCGTTTATTTTGCTCATATTGAAGGATGCAGATCTATATCAATTGAATGATCGAAGGCGTTGAAGAACACAGGTGTAAAAAAAAAAGTCAAAAGAAATGCCGGAAAAAGAAATCCGGCTAAATAAAAGTGTCAAGTAGGTTACTATATCTTAGAAATTAATATAACTAGCCTTGATGGAACGAGATGAGCGGCCGAAAATCATATTTATGGAGAGAAAGATAAACTGAGGATTTGGAGAGAGAACCAGCTAGATAAAGATGTGAAAGAAGAATTTGGCCGGGAAAAATACAGAGAAGAAAGAATGGCTAGAATATAGGAATCATACAGTGATTGCAAGCTCCTCAAATCTCCAATTGCAATTAAATTTCTCCACCCAAATTCAGGACAAATAAATTCCTTCACAGCGAAAAACAAAATCCCATTTTGAGGCACAGTCTGATAATTATTAAATGGTGTCCCATAAAAACACTTGGAATTGGAAGAGAGACTCACAGAGTAAAAACAGAGGGTTTGATTATAGTTGGCGACTGATTGAGGGTAGTTAAGTCATTTCATTTATTTTAATCTTAACTTTTTTGAATCTGGACTATTTTTTTGGGACAAGGTTTTTTTTTATCAAAGTGGACTATTTCCGTAGGACGGAGGGAGTATCTTTTAATGAACACGGGGTGGGTGGGCACATGTTCATTTTTTTTGGTTTATGCACCCAATGCAATAGCCTGCAAACCACAGTGGGAGGTATTCTAGACAAGTCCCGTGACACATTCGGGTGTAAGAAAGTGGTTCATGTGTGGGTTTTGCTATAACAAATCCCCTAAAAGGTGCCAATAAGTAAGGGTAGAGACCCTATATAAGTCTGGGTGATAAAGTATAAAATGGGATGTCACTGGGAAAGGATAAAGACCCTAAACAAGTATGGGGTGATAAGCTCGGTTGTGAAATCGGGATTTTGTTGCGTTAGAGGTGTCAATGGATAAGGGTCGCAGAGCCACCGCTCATTTTTGTTGGCTTAAGGGATTGCTCCTTTTGACACCAAGAGTGGATTTACAACTGAATCAACACAATTTAGCTGCTCGACTTAGTTCTTAAGGAACCAGAACGGGCTACACGCGCCCCCAAAATACTCCCCCATGTGCCCCCAAAAACTCCACCAAACCAGCCAAATTGAGCTCTGCAATTACCGTTTCTTCGAGCTCTGCAATCTGCAGCTCAATCGAATTCAAAGCTGTCAGTTGGACAGAGTTCCTTTTCCACCCAATTTCAAATCAACCACGACCAAATTCCAGTTGGTAACGTCTCAATCTGACTGTACCTAGCCGCTGTAATAATTCAAAGTTACCGGCGCCGTTCAAGTCTCTACTGTCGTTCAAGTCTCTGCATCAGATTTATTACATTTCCAATCTAACCCTTTTTTATCCGGGTGGCTTCGTCAAGTAACCAAAGGCGAGGAGAGATTTGGTCCAACAATTTGCTTCCTGGTTTGTGTTGGTTTGATGCACTGGTAATTCGAAAACCCTTAATCACCTCCGGAATTTTCGATTGCTGATTTCTGCAACCTTCATTTTTATTACAATCTGCAATTCCGGCTTCCCGCATTTAGAAATTTGGCTGCTATGTATATTATATGGCTAAGCGAAATGAAGAAGACGGCGAATTTGGTGTTCTGTTGGCACTAAGGGTCCGTTGATTTTTTTTTTTAGCCACTTTGGAATTTAGCATTTGCGTTTTCAATACCTCTCACACTACCGGCATAGTATGGCAGAATTGAGGGTCTCTTCTCACGGTAAGGTTGTCAAATACATCTCTTTTGCTAAGCGTCTACTACAGCAGAGTCCTTCTGTGCAAATTACAGCTTTGGGTATTGCAATTCTGAATGTCATAGCTACTGGTGAGCTGTTCAAAGGTCAACTGGCAAATCTCCAACAAATTGTCAAGACCACCATGACGAATGGGGTTTCCATAATTATTATAACATTGATCCTGGATTTATCTAATGATATGGTGACTCAAAATTCAGGTAGCTCAAAGAAATGTTCCCGGCGGAAGAAGAGACGTGACAACACCAATTCGGGTTATAATTCAGCTACTTCCAAAGCAGACCATAAACAATGGAGAAAAGTTCCTTCTCCTTCGCATAAGGGTTGTCCTGCTACCGATACTGTTCCTAGGCCATTCATATCGGTTTCAAAAGACATGAATCATGATTGCCGGGGTAAGCTGATGGAATTCATAGTGTTGGATACTGTTGGCAGAGAAGCTAACCACCACCTAATGGACGACTCAGTGTCAAGGCGACAGCAACAAAAGGAGGCCTTCGTCACACATTGTAAAGACTTGTCAATGGTAGGTGAAACTACATAATTGATGGTAACAGGAGAGGCAGTCACACAACACTACCTTAAAACAGGAAATGCCCACATTCTCAAGTCAGCTAGAATGCCTACACAGAGTCGATGGCATCGACGCCTTCCACAAGAACGAAGAAGCCATTCTGGTCCTCATATTAGCTCATAGTGGCTGACTGGACAAAAAAGGGGATTACATCTTTTGGAAGTGGCTGAGACTTCAAAGAAACGCAGACTGAATGTCCAGGAAAGAAACTCAATGCTGACCCCTCAGGTAATGCTTTTCTAGGCTACTTTGAATATGTTTGATAATGTGTTTGCTAATGGCTTTGCATCAAAAACTGAAAAAGGTTTTGCGGTGGTTGAACCAAATCAACCGCCTCTGTTGAAATGAATATCTTATCATGGAATTGCGGGGGGTATAAATAATACCTCCTCTAAACATGTAGTAAGTAGATTATGTAGACAATATAAGCCTAGCATTTCGTTCTTAATAGAGACCAAGGTAGGCAAACCTTGTATAGATGCCTGGCAGCAGTCTTTTCCTTTTAAAAATTCCATGGTAGTAGATCCAGTAGGTTTAAGTGGTGGTTTAGCATTATTTTGGTTAGAGGCTTAGTGTACTACACTATAACTCCAATGTAATTGTTACTAAAGTATGTGAGTCTTCTGGTGTCGAGTGGATAGCTACTTTCTTGTATGGTGTGCCTTCTCAACTAGGGTGAGCCGAGTTCTGGTCAAAACTCAATGACACCATAGGTAGTTTGCATTATCCTAGTATTATTGTAGGTGATTTTAATCAGGTTATCAACCAAGAGGACAAGTGTTGAGGAAGACAAGTCCGTGAACAGGATACCAGAAGAGTCTGACAGCTCATTTCGTAAAATGATTTAGAACAATTGAAGCATATTGGTTGTTGGTACACTTGGACAAATAAACGGCAAAACCAAGAAGCTATCCTTGAAAGGCTTGATTGAGCTTTTGTGAATAGCCAATGGTTGGCTTTTTTCTCAAAGGCTTTCATCAGGAATCTTCCAATCATGTCATTAGATCATGGTCCGGTGCTCATTCAACTAAAAGAGCAATATTAGAAAACCAGGAAGAGGAAGAAATTTGAGCAATTTTGATCCAAATGTCCTCAAGCCACTCAACTTATCCAAAATGAATGGAACCAACAAGGTTTGATTATTGAGGATCATCAAGAACATTTGTCCTATAGACTGCATAAGAGCTTATCTTCCTTACACAGATGAAGCAAAGACAAGTTTGGTAATATAGACAAGTTATTCATCAAATTATCTAAGCAACTAGCTAATCTGCAACAACAGTGGGAGTCCAATCCAGATGATGACAATTTGTTTACTCAACTACAAAACCACCAAGAAGAACTAGAGCAAACTTTGCAACATCAGCATGACTACTGGTAACAGAGGGCAAAACTGATTTTGCCTCTTCAAGGTGACAGGAATACAAAATTTTTCCATAAGTGAGCTAATAGAAAGAAAGGAAACAAATGGATCACAGAGTTACAACATGAGGAGGGTGAATGGATACAATGTCCAATCAAAATGGGAAACTTGATCCTACAACACTTCTCTGACATCTATTGTCAAGTGGAACCAGCTGCTCAAATGGCGTCATCCTCGGCTTTCTTTACAAGTCTCCTTGATAATGTGATAGAATGTCTAACCCCGGGTCAAGCCAACTTGTTGGATCAACCTTTCACATCTAATGAAGTCTGGAATGCAATCAAGCAGATGGCTCATTGGAACTCACCAGGCCCAGATAGAATGCCGGTTGGTTTTTATCAAAAATATAAGCAGATCGTAGGCACTGATGTTGAAACAACCATCTTGGATGCAATCAATAAACAACACTTTCCAAATGAGTGGAATCAGATGAATATTGTCCTCATTCCGAAAGTTTCTAATCCAGTTCAACCCAGTGATTTCAGGCCTATAAGTCTCTGCAATGTCAAGTACAAGGTCATCCGAAAAATAATCACAAATAGACTCAAGAATGTCATGATTGATCTCATTGATGAACATCAGAATGGCTTCGTGCCATGCAGAAATATCAGTGAAAACATACTCGTCGCACATGAGGTGATCGAATCAATTAGGTCTAAAGAAGGCGACCTAGGCTTAGCAGCAGCCAAGTTGGACATGAGTAAGGCATATGACAGAGTGTCTTGGCCTTTTCTTCAAGCAGTGCTCTAGAGAGTTGGAATTCCACAACGCCTTATCACTCTTATAATGTTTTGTGTCACCACTATTTCCTACTCCATCCAGTTCAATGGCGATGGTTTGCCTTTTTTCTCGCCAATAAGAGGACTTCGTCGGGGATGCTCCCTCCCCCTTTATCTCTTTATTCTATGTCAACAAGTGTTGTCATCAGCTATTAGGGCTGAGATAAATCAATTTCTAGGATTGGGAATTAAGATCAGCAGAAATGCCCCCAGAACCAGCCACTTGATGTACGCGGATGACAACCTCTTTTTTATTGAGTGCAGAGAGAGCTCAATTCTTGCTCTAGCAGGTCTGATTGAATAGTATGCCACTTTCTCTGGGCAAAAGATCAACTTCCTCGAATCATGCATTTTGCTCAGCCCAAACACATCTTCCCAGATGAAATCCTTTATCCATACCACCTTGCAAATCTCTGAGGAGCAATTTCAGAGCAAGTACCTCGGTATGTCACTGGATTTTAAAGAAAAGAAAAAGTTGATCTTTCAAACTTTTACTGCCAGGTTGAGGAATAAATTTTACAGATTGGAAGACAAAGCTTCTCTCTCTTGTGGGTAGGATAACACTAGCAAAATCAACTTTGTTGACCATGTTAGTCTACCCAAACTCCCGGCTTCTACTTTACAGGAGGATGATCGCATTGTTGCACAGTTTATTTGGAAATGTGACAATTTGAATAGAGGTATTCACTAGAGATCTTGGAGGAAAATAGCCAAATCTCAATTCCATGGAGGCTTAGGTTTAAAGTCCTCAAAGAAATTTAACCAAGCGTTACTTGCCAAACATGCTTGAAAAATCATGTCAAATCCTGGTTCCCTCAGTTCAAGACTCTATCGAGCCAAATATTGTGGTAATGATATTTTTCCACAATCAAAACCTCCAAATAACTCCACTTGGGATTACAAAAGTATACTATGGGGAGCTCAATTACTCTCTCAGAATGTTAAATGGAAAGTTATATCGGGAAAAGACATCGGTATTGCTGATGAGCTGATTCCTAATAATTCCAACTCGATACAGAGGAATTCTTTTCTTGCTACACACTCTAATCTTAGAGTCAAAGACCTGATTCGCAATGATGACCAATAGAAGCTACGGTTTCTGCGAAAGATATTCCCATACTATATCATTCTTCACATCACAGGGATTTTTATTGATCCAAATAGGCATTTGTAAAATGATAAGCTGCAATGGACGAAGACGGATCACAGAAACTATACGGTGCACTCAGGTTATTATATAGCTATCAACCTGCTAGCCTCCCATGGTTACCAAACTCAATCTCCAACTAATACAGAAGTCAGAGCCTGAAAATGCTTGTGGAATGCTAAAGTTCAACCAAGATAAAACTGTTGTTGCGAAGAGCAGTGTTGAATGCTCTTCCTACTAAGTTGGGATTACAAAAAAGAGGTATTGAACTTGATCTCACATGTGCTCGTTATTGAAATCATGATGAGAATAATCTGCACCTCTTTATAACATGTCCAACATCTCAAGCTATTTGGAGTTTTACTTATCCCCCAATCCAATCCATTCACAACTGTACTAGTTCCTCCCTACTGGAGTGGTACACGGAATGGATTCGTCGAGGCCTTCAGCAAAGGAGATGGATTTATTTCTAATAATCCTTTGGAGGATTTGGACTGAAAGAAATGACATGATTTGACGTAACCAGGTGCACAGTCCGGTCATCTCGTGGCGACTGATTCAAAGAGACTTACAACAACATAATAAAATTATCAAAAGCCAAACAGCCTCCCAGAACTCTAATGTAGAGATCGCGACTCCATCAGAACAAAGTCTAGTTTTAGATGCCTGCATTCACTTTGATGGCTCCTTCCAACCGCGTATAATAGCAGCAGCAGGAGCATGGAAGATTACCTCACCTCAGGGAGCTATAATGCAAATCAATGCGACCCCTTTCCAGGTGTTATCACCTTTCCAGGCAGAGGCCATGACCTGTCTCATTGCTATCCGTGAGGCTTCACAACTTGGACTGACTCGTGTGAAAGTTTACATTGGTTGTGAGTTATTATCTACTGATCTAAGGACTATACTTGTGCCAGCAGAGGTACAAGAAGTTATTGCTTTATTATTAGTTTTAATTTCATCTTTTGTGTCCTGCCAACTTATCAACGTTAGCAGATCTGATGTTAGTGACCTACATAGTATGGCTTATAATGCATGTCGAAGTAATCTATAGAGAATCCTTTTTTCGGCAAAATATCCGAGCAAAAATGTAAGACATGTGTAAATAAGCTTCTTATTAGATTTTTTTTTTCCGCTGTAATATTCGAGCGAACATACATACGTAAGGCATGTGTAAGAAGAATTCATATTAAAGCGGCGAGGATTGCATTAAAAAAAGTTATTGTTTTAATATATATATATATATGTATATACTAGTGATGTCTGGTGGCGCAATGCGCGACCCTGGCCCAATATATATGTACATCTTAGAAATGTTTGTATTTGGAAAAAAAAAATATTTTGTATTTGGCCCGATATATTTTAGAAATGTTTGAAAAATTTAGAAATGTTTTATAAGTGTGATCTTAGAAATGTTTATATTTGGCATAAAAAGAAATTGTATTTGACCCGGTACGTTTAAGAAATGTTTGAAGATTTTAGAAATATTTTATAAGTGTTACTTCTTAAATATAAATAAACTTGATCAAATATATGTCTTGAATTAAATGCTAGACAAAATATAAAAGCATCCTAATAAGTTTAAATATTAGTAAGATAATTTATTGATATTCTCCGGTTGTGCCAAATCAATACTTAGTTTTGGAGATTTATAATAGCTTTGTAGTAAGCTTCTTCCCAAGAGTATACGCTTAATTGTTGAAACTATTTCTTCCAAAAGTTTATAAGTAGTAAAATATCAAAAATATAATTTTGAAACTGGTTAATTGATGAAATTGGTTGATCACAGATATGAGAATGAAAATAATGTAAATTTGCATAGGTTTCAAGTTATACCAAAAAAGAACTTACCTCACCATGGAAAATAATAATAAAAAAAAAGAGTAAAAGATAGCCCATTTAAAATTGAGAAATTTATTTTTTTCTGTAGGTAAAAATGTTGTATAAAAATACAAATAAACGTAGAAACATCATTCTTTCCCTCTCCGCTTCAAATTCATAAAAGGCTTTGCCAGAAATTAGTTAGAAGAAGCACCTGAACTATTTAGATGATGAGAAAATAAAAAAAGTCCAAAAACCAAAATTCAAAAAGTATATTCTTGAAAGTCCGAACACAAAAAAAACGCGCTTTATTTGCAAATAAAGTAATAATAATTGGTCAACTGGGAGTATGAAACAAAATAAAAAATAATTAAACAAAGAAAGAAACACACTTCGAAACTGACCATATACGAAAAAAAACTGAGACTCCATAATTAAAAAAAGAAAACCACTCTAATTGAATGAAACATTAAAAAGAATTTAAAAAACCACAGTTTGTAACAAAAACTCAATTAATCAATTCAATCCAAACAGAACTAAAATCATACAAAACGGATAGGCTAACTAACTATATAAGAAATCACATCATATTACCTGATAACGGCTACGGTAGCTGTTACGGATGGACGCATAAAAATAATAGTAATAACACTATTCTTGAACGGGAAAAACAAAAAATAATAAAAGCCAAACAAATGATCTGTGAAAATAAAATCATTTAAATTTTAATACCTGTAATTGCACCACCATAACAGCCGAAGTAAGATCAATGAGAATTTTTTTTTTCCTTTGTGTTTATATAGTAAGGTAAAGAGAATATTTTTGAAGTCGAAATTTTATCTAATCAGGATGTAGTTGATCATCACTAATGAAAAGATTGAACATGCTAATAGGAAATGAGTATATTTCACCACATATTCTCAATTGATGATTGATGAAGAATTTATTTTTTTTTTTTATTGTGGAGAAGAGATTGATTAAGGAGTCGATTGTCAGATGGGGATAAGGATTTGGGTTTTTTATGAACCCGTCTTTTTTTTTTTGTTTTGGCAAAAATAGGAGGTGGAGGTGGATTTGGACTGATTTACCTTTTAAGTCTAAGAGATGTGAAAATAAAGATTTATTTTAAAAATATGATGTGGAAATGCCACATGGCAAATGGTGGTGCTTTCTCTTAAGTGTGGTTTTTGTTTCTAATATAGTAAGATATATTAAAGTAAAAAATGTAATATTAAAAAAAAGTGGGCTAACAAATTTGATGCAAAATGTGTCTCACGATAAATATGTTTTCAACGTTCCATTCCCCTATAGTAATTCACAATCGCCTTGATCAAACCACCATGTCTCTCATGTGAATTATTTCTACCTGATATCATTTGCACCATACTTGGATTATCAACTTCAGCTCCCTCATAGTCAAACGAGGTTATATTACGCTGTGGGTGTCTCGTATCTAATGGATATTTCAAGTTAATCCTGTAAGTTATGACATGTTTTATTGAAAAAGAAAAATATTAAATTAACTAATTTTGTTTTTATTTTCTCCGTATGTCTTTTTAATTTTGAGTAGTTTTTTCCAGGAGAAATGATGATTTAGTGAAATACAGAAGCTGGTTGAGATAATTCGTAATGTAGAACAATAGAAGCTTGTAAAAATGTTAAAATGACATTTATTTTTCTTTTCATTGAAGAGGCAAAACTTACAACCTTTAAACTACATTTTGTAGGTGGACAATTTTCAACTATTGGACTATGCCAAATCGTGCAATCTACCCAAATTAGTGTACGTCAAAGAAGCCAAATACTCATAATCATATGCAGTTTCAAAAATTCATGATGTGCATATTCTATTGATCTCCAAATTGAGGACATGATCATCTTCGTTTCGAATAGAAGAAAGCAACGTTTTTTTTTTTCCCAAAAAAAAAAAAAAGGTGGTAAATAGAAAGCAAAGGTTTCATTATAAGACCGTAATTGTTTAAATATCGAGCTTCTAGTTAGTAGTTATTACCAATTAGAATTTGCTCAGAAAAATGTCTGAAATATTTTGCTGATTCAACCATGAATTATATAATCTATAATCTATTTTGCTCTGCAGATCACATAATCCTAACAAACTGATAATATAAATTTAAATTGCCACCTTAGAAATTCAGCTAGAAAGCGAAGAGATGATCTACATCTTATACGGCTTCGACTGAGGATATTGCGACCTTCTTCTGGAGAATATGTTACAACCTCTTCTTGAATTCTTCAACAACTTATGAAACTCCTTCCTCATGCTATTGTACTCTTTTTCCAGCTCCCTGATCCGATACTTCATCTCATCAACGCCAGGTTTCCTTCCGAGTTTTCGCGAACCGCCATTTTTTCCCATTGACATCACCCCACTAGGAGGATCTCTTGAGTTGTCAAGATTCTCAGATACAAAGAACCAACCCGAAATCGATGTTCTCAGGCGAAGCTGTTCGAAGAACAAGACCTGGACAATCACCCTGAGTGGCAGCCTTTCGTTTTGTGCTGCGTGAGTACTGGCCTCCAAAGAGAGTTTCTGGCAATTCATCAGTCTACATATTTGTTCCCTTTCTGAATCTGTTAGCCAAGGATGGGCCTGAAATTTTTTCCCATTGTGTAATACAACATCAATAATGATGATCAAATTTGAAGAATTCAGATCATGATGAAGTTGTGGAAACAGGATGATGTCCTGTTTCCAAATATATTTGCAAGAATTTTTACCTTCAAATATATGTCAATGGCTCGGTATATGCTATCGGATAATGGCCTCGCGTAATCAGGGATCGCGGCAGCAAGGGCTTGGAATTTCGGGAACTTCAGGTTAACATCTGTTGCAACATCAGCTAGGTATGAATCCACAAGGTTTGCTACCATTGTGATTGAGGTCAATGAATGATCTATTCGGTTTTCTTCCACGATGCTTGGAGAAGGAGCAACAGATTGCTCCATTGATAAGAAATGATCAAGAATCCTCTGAAAGCATTCAATGTCATACAATGTTTCAACATAATATCCCATGTTTGGGATAAGCAGATCATCTAAAGCGGCCTGATCCAACTGCAACCCGACACGCTTTTCCAAATTTTCCTTGCAGGATGGACTCGTTTGCAGAACCATAGCAGTTCTGAGTAGCCTGATGAGAAACTTTGTCTGTGTAACCCCTCTTTGATTCGGAAGAAGCTCGACTAACTCTTCGAGAAGAGCCCTCTGATCGGATTCAGAAGGCGTGGACGTCGTTGATCCTGGTTTCGAATGATTAGCATCATTGAAGCTTGATTGCCTGTTCATCAACGGAATATATTTCTTAGCATAGAAAACCAGGGATCCCGCGAGGTTTTCTGAACTCATTCCGGCAGCTTCAACAGCGACAATCAAACGCTTATACAATGGTAAACTTAGAAATGATAAATCCTTGTACCACCACCCCTGATCAGGTGTAGCTTGCAAGCGATTCGATGTTGTTAATCCATTCCACATTCCATCGACGCCTTCTCTATGCTCGTTTTCATCCCCTAAAACAGGCCTATTCGACACTTTTGGATCAGAACAAGCTTTCATAGCCAATGAATTTATGCATCTTGACACAATGTCAAGCTCCTCAGCTTGAGGCAAGACTTCTTCACAGGTCTCCAGGGTTTTGATAGTGTCAGACCAACTCGCGAATACGGTATTTAGGAAAACTTCTGTTACATTGATGAGATTTCCTTCTCCATATTCATCACTCATTTGGAGATACTCAGCTGCACATCTTAGGCTAACTACATTGCGCGCATTCAACTCGATTTTTACGCCATAACAGAACTTCGCCACCAGCTCAAATGCTTTGGCTCCCCCTGGTAGTTCCCCGAGTTGTACAACACAGAATGATGATGATCCATCCTCCTGTTTTAACTCTGCAATAAGTTTTTTCAGCAGCCCGCTTCTTGACAGCAGCGGAAACTGCATTCAATTCTGTTAGTTGCTTAATATACCTAATGATGTTTTAGTATGCACACAATTTCTTCACCTTCCCACTCTGCTAGCCATTAAAACTGGAGTGTGGATGAGTGAAAGAAGAAAAGGAAAATAAGTGTAGTCAATAATTAAAAAAAAAAAAAAGATGCACCTTGTGAAGATGAAAAGACATTTCTCCAATATGGATAGTAACATCACTAGCAAGCCCGGATGAACAATTCCTGATAAGAACACAATTCCAATTCATAATATAATTCAGAAACTGAAACCGAATTATTCCTCCCATATACCTGAAATGATTGTGCAGTTTTTATATCATACTTCCTCCAATCCTTATTATAAGGCATTTTGATTTCGTCCTAGGTTTAATCTAGGATATTTTTTTAATTGGAAAAAAACCTTAAAAATATATTTTCATATTCGTTGTATTCTCCTAATAATTGTGAAATGTTTTTAAGATTTTTATTCAATTAAAAAAACATTCAAAGTGAAACTTAGGACGAAATCAAAATGTCTCAAAATTCCTTATAATAAGAACTGGAGGGAGTATTTTAGTATGTACGATTTCAGTAGTGTATGTTGGGATGAGGGATTGATTGGCAATGAAAAAACCCTCCGATTTAGAACAGAGAATTTGGTGAATAACACTGAAGCCAAGATTGTGTCACATCTTATCAAATTCTTGATAATAATAGACGATTTATTTATTTATTTAAATCTGAACTAGTATATTAGCAACTTCGTAACAATCATGGTAGAAGTTCATGATGCAGAAGAAGAAGACAATCGATCAAAAAAGAAGTAGAAAATGTGAATTACCAAGAGTGGCCATTGAGGTGAAACGCTTCAGATTTAGAACCAAGCTTCATGCTAGCCATTGTGCCTATGCTGGATCTTCTTAATTTCTGGAAATGGTAGTATTTTTGGTAAGTCAAGGACTAATTGTCATACTTAAAAAAAAGGGGAAAAAAATAGAAAGTGTAAGGTTGAGGAGATGTTTTTGTTCGTATTTTTCGTGTTAGTAACTGAAAGAATAATAGAGAAAAAAATAGTCCATCTTGTCCGACCGAGATTTTTGGTTATAAAGAAGACGAGGGAAATTCGCTTACCGGTTCTACTGTTCTAATCTAATGGTACTTACAATGTTGTTTTGATTTGTTTTTTCAGTACTAAACAACGAGTTTATGAAAATGGACCATATTAAAAAGTTTAAAAATGTTACTCCCTCTGTTCCTAAATTATTATCCAGTTTGAGATTTTACTTTTAGTACAATTTTAATTAAAAATGGAAACCCAAAATGCACAATAATTTTGGGACAGAGGGAGTACGAGACTAGAGCAATTTTTTTCTACTAAGCTCACTTTTTCTCAACACGCTTTAGGCAGATTATGCTCACCTTACTCCCTTTTCGAGTTGAGTAGTTTTGGAGGAAAGATAATGATGATTGGAGAAAGTGTTGATGATCAATTGATCACCATAATACTAACCGGAGAAACTTATTAAGATGCTAACTTAAACCTTTTGATTCTAGGTATGCGACGCTATGACTGCAACATTTTGTTTGATTAGTATTATTTTTCGTTCAAAGGGAATGTCGTAGTCTATTTGAAATTTAAATCGTTACATTATCTAGAGAGATATCATGTCGTGTTTTAGATAATTAGTTACAGTTCAACGATTTAACAAGAGACAAATTTTAAGAAGGCAAGATATTTATAATTGGTCATCAATTTTGCTTTTTTTTTCCTTTTAGATAATTAGTTACAGTCCAACGATTTAACAAGAGACAAACTATAAGAAGGCAAGATATTTATAATTGGTCATCAATTTTGCTTTTTTTTTCCTTTCAAAACTATAATTGGTCATCAATGACATTATTATTCACATTGTGAAATTATTTGAAACACAAAATTGGAACCTAACAAGCTAATGATATACTTGAACAGAGCTTATTTTCAACAAAAGAAAAAAAGGGTATATTTGAACAGAGCTCTAACAAGCTAATGGAAAGGAACCTAGTAACATTATAAACGGTTGATTCACTAGAACGAAATTAAAAAATTAGGTTGCAGTTCTAACGACCCAACGACAGACAAAATTAACTTGAATGATGCAGGATTTTTCTAACTTGCCATCAATTTTGTCTTTTTAAAGCATACATACAGTAAAAATAAAAATTGTTTCTTTTTCATCGAAAATATCTACATCCAGTAAAAAGTTAAGCATAGATGCATATGACTTGTCTTTAGGGACCTACAAAAAGCTACCAATTTTCTACAGCCATTTCTGCAAATATATAAATGTGGAGTAGTGCTAGAACATGCTAGTAGTAATAAGTAAATGTACCTAACCCCATAAATATGGTAGCTTTGCATGGACAAGCAGACCAGCTTATATACAGACTGATAAAACTGTACTCAGATAAGAAACTTTCAATCACTTTCTCTTTCCCCTGTTTTTCCTCTGTTTATTTTTTCCTCTGCTTCAAAACTATGGCATTTCAGAGTTTTCTCATAAACTTGGCCAGTTTTGTAGACCAGTATTTCCTGAGGGATGCCGACGGCCGGGCAAGGATTTTGCCGGTTTTCGGGATCCTTCCGTCCATGCTTCTAAACCTCCACAGGCTCCACGATGCGTGTACTGATAACCTGGAAACAATCGGGGAAACTTCTTACTTAATAAAACTCCCCTGGTTCGTGAAGATGGATATTTATGGCACTGTTGATCCTGATGATATTCACCACATAATGAGTGCGAACTTCGCCAATTACCCAAAAGGGTCGGAAATGAAGAGGATTTTCGACGTTCTGGGAGATGGGATCTTCACCTCTGATTTCGAATCGTGGAAGAATCAGAGGAAGCTCGCCAGGTTGCTGCTGAATCACAAGCAGTTTCACAGGTTCCTGGTGAAGACGAATTGGGATAAAGTGGAGAAAGGCCTGATTCCGGTTCTTGATCATGTTGCGACCAATGGGCTTGTTGTGGATTTACAAGATGTTTTCCAGAGATTCACGTTCGATACCACGGCGAAATTCGTCACCGGGTACGATCCAGGATGCCTGGCTGTCGATTTTCCTGACGTCGAATTCGCCAATGCGATGGATCGAGTTGAGGAAGCCATAGTTTTGCGCTATTTGTTGCCTGATTTTGTCCTGAAAATCTTGAGTTGGTCAAGGATTGGGATAATGAAAACAATGAAAAAAGCTTACGCAACGCTGGATTCTGAAGTGAAGAAGTACATTTCCATGAAAAGGGAAGAATTGAGCAAAAGGAAGAAGCAAAATGATGAGAATGGTGAAGAAAATGAAGAAGGGATGGATCTGTTGACATCTTATCTGAAAGAAGGTGACAACACAATGGGAATGATATTTGATGAAAAGTTCCTGAGAGACACCATTTTGAACTTCATGATTGCTGGTAGAGACACAACAAGTTCAGCATTGACCTGGTTTCTATGGCTTGTTTCAACTCATCCAAGAGTGGAAAACAAAATCAGGGAAGAGCTACAATCCCTCATCATCAAACCATCAAAAGACGACGATGAACACGGAAAATTCAGGCTTTTCCAATCAGATGAACTGAAGAATCTGGTTTATTTGCAAGCAGCATTGTGTGAAACAGTGAGGCTATACCCACCAGTTCCTTTCCAACACAAGACACCACTTCATGAGGACATTCTTCCAAGTGGTCAAAAAGTTCATCCAAACATGAAGGTCATCATTTCTCTGTATGCAATGGGGAGGATGAAGTCCATATGGGGTGAAGATAGCAGGGAATTCAAGCCTGAAAGATGGATTTCCACACAGAGTGGGAAGATCAAGCATGAACCATCTTACAAGTTCTTGGCATTCAATGCAGGACCAAGAACCTGTCTTGGGAAAGATGCGGCTTTTACTCAGATGAAATGTGTGGCTGCTGCCATTATTCACAACTACAGTGTTAGAGTTGTGGATGGCCATGATGTGCATCCCAATGCTTCAGTCATTCTCTACATTAAAAACGGTCTGAAAGTCAGGATTTCAAAGAGATGGCAATGATCAATCATGTCCCTGAAAGCTGCTGAGCTGCATTTTCTCCAGAGATATTTGAGGGCAGTTCTCCAACAATAATAAATGAGCTCCTTTTACATATATGCAGTTGAAAGTTGAAACAGTTATTTTTTTTTCTTTTCCCCTATTTTGTTTGGTCAACTTAGAACCCTTTCCATAATTGTGTACCCTCTTGTTTGTAAGAGTTTCACAGTAGTCAGTACACTTTTTATCCAATCTTACTTGGGTTAGGGTCACCTTTGATTCATCATGTTAAAGTTGAGATACTCTCAATCATTCATCTTTCATTATTACTTCTTCAGTTTTATAATACTCTTACCGTCCCAAAAAAATAATTTACTTTATTATATGTTCACTCTGTTCATTCCCATATGAGTGGAACAATAAGGTGAAAAGGTTAGCATGACACTATCAATCTTTCTTTTCTTTTTTTTTTTTTTAATTTGAAAATCAAATTCTTAGTAATGAAATGAATGGATTTACATTTATCTAGAAAATTTAACTTAGTCCTAGAACCCTCTCCCATCCCACCTACCCAACTACCAAATGCCAGAATGTTATGGTAGGGGTCATGTGATAATTAAAATTATGATTGAAGAAAATAGCATTAGGAGGAACGTTCAGAATTTCAAGTCATTTGTTACATTTTTTACTTAAATTGTGGTTACTTTCTTCTTCTTCTTCTTAAAAAGATGCACAATGGATGCATCATCAACATAGTATATACCACATCCTTGAAAACAGCACAAGTTCGCTTCTAGTAAATACTCTCTTCGGTCTTTCTAAGTCACAAATTAACATTAAATTAATTCAGCATTATATACTTTATAAATAAAATCAGACAGTATGATTCAGTTCTTTGTGTAAATCCTAAGCTAGCAACTCCCACATACCCATAATTTGCCTCCCTATTTTAACATCTTACAATGTGTTTTAGTTAATACACCATTTTCTATAATTCAATTTTTTTTAATTATAATAATAAGAAAAAGGGTGGTCAATTAGGAAAAATTGAAAGATCTAAGACGTAACCTTCATCGGACTTTAACTAAACTAGGGAACATTCTTCCCTTGAATTGTCGTTTTATCTTCTGGAAAATGTTGGTCTTCCGGCCATGACAACTAATTTTCAGTTTTACATACATGTATACATTTTGTGTGCGCGGCAGATAAAAAAAATAATAATAATAATGAAAAAAACCTACCCACAAACAATGTCATTCAATTCTATGCTTCAGTATATGTCTATTACATTTGTGAAATGCTTACATATCCAACGTTCAAACCAACCGCCGAATCAATCAAAATATCAAAGTCGTTTAGGTTCCTCTCGAAACAAAAATAGGATCTGGTTACGATTTGATGTATAGTATTTTCTTAATTCATCAATACATTTCCCCATGATTGTTTAAAAAATTTGCAGCTACTTTCATCAATATTTTCATCAATACTACTACTCCCTCTGTCCTAAAATTATTGTCCAATTTGAAATTTCACTTTTGTATAATTTGAATAAGAAATGAAAACTCAAACTCGACAATAATTATGGGACGGATGGAGTACTATTTTAGTTTTGGTTTAAATTTGCAGCTACATTATCTAACACGCCATATTCTCCAATACTTCTATAAAAAAAAAAATCGAAAATGCATGCATTTTCTTAAAACATGTTGGATTTGTTTCGTGCACATAATTAATAATCTTATCAGTTTCTCGTTATCCATAGAAGGCTGGAAGTAAATATTAACAAAAAATATGTCGGCTACTCTACTTCCGTGGTGATGAGTTCCAGTGCAAGCTAGAGTTGGACACTGTAACTATGTATAGTGTACAGTTACAGCATGCTTTTCTTCTTCTCTTTTTTTTTTCAAAATTTTTTTATTTATTTTATTTTTTAGTTTTTGTATCTCACTACAACACTAGGTATGTCGAATCAAGCATTCTTGGACTGAGAGAAAATGGAAGTAAGGCTAAGATGTTCCAACTAAATTAATGAAAATAACTTTGTTCATGACAAGTAAGTTATAGATACAATTTTCAAGGCTCAAATTAATTCAAAGAAATTAGTAATAAAGTAAACAAATTCCTTACTATTTCATTATGAAAAATCTATGTTTTAAAGATATAAAAGAATTTCTATCTATAGTAGCATGGACGGCTGAAAAGTCACTATAAATTGTGCCTACACTATAAATTGTGCCTACACTATAAATTGTGCCTACAAAATTACTAGTGAGATATAAGGTATAAAACATTGAGACTAGTGATTTTTGGCACACGGTTATACCAACACTTGAGGTTTAAAATTCATATTTGACTAGAAGGTCTTCAAAAGTTTATGGGCGGACTACATTCCCCCCGCCCCCCTCCCTCCCCCCCGTTTTAATTTAATTTACCATAAATCTTCCGAATTTTGGTGATATTATCATATACCCCTGAGCAGGAGCTAACATTGAAATGACAAAAATGACCGTAATTTACATACACTTGATTTTCTTTTCTTTTTTTTTCTCGATTTGTTTTTCTTTATCATTAAAAATAAAATTACTTAATTTTTATTTTCAAATTTAACTATAAAAAGATAATAAATAAAAGTTAAACCATGATTAGTATTCTCTCCGTCCCAAAAAAATAATCTACATTGAGTCTTCAAATTTGTACTAAAAACAGTACAAAACTCAAAACTCAAAGTGGAATTTTTTTGGGAACGCAGGTAGTATAATTTAATAATATAAGATTATTATGCGTCTAGAAAAAGTTAATTACTAAAAATTATTTTTATTTCAAAAGACATAATATAGTTAATGCCAAAATTTTATTATTTAAATGTATTAATATAAAAGAATTAACATGGAATATTTCTTTCCATTTCATTTATGATATATATTTAAAAACATTTCAAATTTTATAATCTAAAAAATATGGATCAAAGGGTATTCTTTACCGTTATAAAAAATTGATGGTAGTGTTAAGGAATGGAGAGTGATTATGCCAAAATAATTTCAGCATCCGAAACAAATTTAATGTGACAAGACACAATTACCCTTATTAGAAAATACTCCTATTAATTTTCATCATCTTTTCGGCGGCTGATCACTAGGGGAAAAAAAATAATAAATCAGAAACCCCAATCAACCCTCCGGCGGCTGACCACCGGGAAAAAAAAAAAAACCCAATCCCAACCCTCTTACAGATTTTCCTTTTCTCCCACACCAAGAAGGAGAGAATAATTTCGTTGATTTTCCCCCTCTCATGAAACTATTTGCATTTACAATCCTATTGAAGTCAACCATTTTGGCCTCCAAGAAATTGATGAGTTATTTAGAACATATTAATACAGTAAACAAACACCAAATTCAAACCTTTGCCGTGAACAAGTAATTTCGGAGATCATCTACATTTGTTGTTTCTATAATCGACAAGCTATGATTTTATCACTCTCTAAACATTATTTTCACGTTAAATTGGTGGGTATCATCACAACTTAGCTTTATCAGGCGCAGTGGAGTTCTATGTACCTTTCTTAATCCGATTTTGACAATTGAAATTTTTCTATGAATTTGAAACTCCCAGCAATTTGTCATAACATGTGCGAGATTAATGATGTGAAGTATAAAGTCCATTGTGGTTTCGGGTATCGGATGAAAATGATCGATCGTACTACTTAAATAAGGTTGTTCAGTGTTTATGATTATAAGGACTTTGCTAAGCAGAGATTGGATAATTGTGACTTTTTACTTTAAATTTGTTTTGGATGCTAAAAATTGTTTTGGCAGAATCACTCTGTTTTCTATTTGCAGTAATGAGAATGGAGGTAATGGAAATTTGATTCTGTTTCCTACCATTACTGCGTTTCGTAAAAGTAATGGGTAAGAGATTAACTTTCCGGCGTAATCAGATAACCTCCTCCAGGTAATCCTAATCCCATCTACTTGCTTTACTTATCTATTCAAACTCAAATATGAAAAAACAAATCAAAACTGTGGTTTATTTTAAGCGCGTTCAAACTTTGTGCAAAAGAAATTTAAATCTCTTTAAATACAACTTATCCCCCCTAATTCATCAACTCCCTTTTCTTGTTCTCACAAAATTTTAGAACAAAAATAAAAGTTAAAAAGTACTTTTTGCCATTTATGATTTCTTCTTTTTTTTTTTTCTAACGCCGAAGGGGAGAAAAGTTGGAGCAAAAAAACTCTTTTCAAAATTTTTTGGTCAAGCAATTCGTTTGCTTTTTTAGCTCTTTTATCCTCTTTTAAATTATTTTTCCCAACTATGTCAATTTTCTCTTTTGATTATTTTAAAATTGAAAATTAGATTGGAGGTTATAGCGTATTTTTGCCCCAAATCATCTGTGTACCTATGATTCAAAACTGAAAGAAATTTTGGCTTTATGCTATAAAATGCATCTGCTGTCCACCGAGTGAAAATTAGTCCTTTTTGTTTAGATTCAGTTGTGTATCAATTAATCTATTTTCCATTTTCATTTTTCATTTTACAAATGTTTAGTTCAATAATAATTAAATGGGGTCTTGAATTTTTCTTGAACTATATTTTACTTAATTTGTTGAGATTATTTGATATGATTTTTTTAGTAGAGATTTACGTAGAGACATTAATATGGTGATGCAAATTTATTTCATTAATTATAATTTTGCAAAACTTATTTTTTTCCTTATAGTTTATTTAAAATTTTAATTTTTATTCCAATACGTATTAAAAAAGAAGCGCATCAATCGTAAGTAATGCCTATTCCAATGCATTTATGAAATATGTCAAACGTAATTAAAGATTCCTTTAATGAAAGTATACTTTTCCATCAGAAATGAGATTCCATTTCCCTGATTCTCTTTCCGGACAAAAGAACGCAGTAAGGAATATATGATTGTATTTAACTCCATTTGAATGCATGAATGGCCAAATTAATTCACGTCTTCAGTTCTTCCAAAGAGTAGAATCAATAGCACATTATTTTATGAAAAGATTTAAAGTGTCTTGGATCATCTTGACCGGTCTTTGCACAAAAGTCTGAAGTTAATTACTATAGCAAAAATTTTTCAGAAAAATGTTACTCCTTCACGCCTTAATTATGTTGGGCAGTCTGGTCTATAATCTTCCCCAAAAAAGAAAAAATGTCGAACTTAACAGTGTGATCTTTGGAAAATTCTTTTGAATGACTTGGGATTAATTTTCTCGCATGTTCTTTCTTCTTGAACAAGACATTGACTTAATCATCTCTTTCAAAAGATCATCCACACAAGGGTTTCTTATACTTATTCATCTGAACCCTTTTTGAAATTGGACGTTTGATTGTTGTTATCACCTATT